CCGCGGTGCGAAAGGGTCCCGAGACTGTTAAAGAAGAGTAATCCATCAGTCGGACAGCCCTTCTCTGGACAGCATCAGCATGAATAATGTAGTCGGAGTGACATCACCCCAAATGTGAGAGTAATACTCGAGGCTAGGTCTTATCTAAACCATGTATATAGTGAGAAGGTCAGTCTTAGCTCTAAACAAATAGCCTAGCTTTTTCTCAGCAGCTGCCGCTAGTGACGAGATGGGTTTGTGCCAGATCAAATCCTCGGGCATGTGGACTCCGATCATCCGAAATGAACGGCTCTTTGGCATAAATCGGCCATCCATCGGAACCAGATGAGCGCTAGGGACGCCTTTTATTCGTCAAGATACAGTACTGCGTTTTGAAAGCATTAAACTGTACAAGATTGTTGCTTTACCAAGCAGTAATAACCTCCAGGTCTCTCGTTAGACAGAACAATTTCTGCATGAAGAGTGCTATCAACATCAAAGCTGTCGATTAGATTTTACAAGAGAGGAGGTCGTTGATATGTAAGAGAAACAGCCTTAAAGCCAAGATCAATCCCTGGGTAACACCCAGGCTGACGTTGTGGGATGAAGGAGGAGGAAGAGGAGAACTCGTCAATTATGCCAGAAAGTCAGCACCGTTGGTGATTTAGCTTTATTTTACCGCTACACTAACAAGCGTTGCTTCTCAGAGCTCTCCTCCATGATGCCGCCGCGTGATGTGCCAGCCACACACACCCGCCTGACTTCGACCTCACCATTCTAACAGTGTCAAAGTTACTTCTTACATCAATAACTGGCCGATTCGACCACTCCTTTGTACCAAGGGTGTCGAGATTGTGGCACAGCCTACAAGAGGAGACTTTTCTCATATCTACTTACCTCAGCCAGTTCAAAAATCGGAGTAACAGAGTTTCTTTGGGATCCTGCTTGCAGCCGCGGTGTTCTGACATTTAAGTTTGCATAAAAGGGCAGCGTGCCACAGCTGATCGAAAACTTTCGTGATATCAAGAGTAACGGCATGAGTTTCATCATGCTTCACAATTGCGTAACGTAAGCTAGAAGGTCCCTTGTGGATCGCTCATGGTGTCGGAAAATAAAACTAAACAATCCGTGACGTTCGAGGTAGTCCGCAAGCTTGCGATTTATGCACCTCTCTATCACCTTACAGATTACAGAAAGCGGAGCAATAGGGCTGTAGTTGTGAGGAGTTGTTTCCCGACAATATAAGATTTTAACGCTGTTGCCTTTGTTTATTTATGATATGACAATACAAAAGCAAATACGAATACTTATTAAATAGGGATGTACACCTTTGCGCCTTTCACCAAATATTGCAAAGCCAGCAGATGACACAAAAGTACATGACCCCATCAAATGGACGTCAATGCAATTTTAGGGGGAAGCTTAAAGATGATATCAGAAGTGTTAATACCCTTTCTCCAAATCTGTGATTGTTTTATATGCTTTATTGTTGATTTTGTTTATTTATTGATATGACAAATCCGATACGTTAATACTGTAGCGTTTTCTGGGTTCTTTTAGGTGTGGATTAAAACACTTGATTCCACCAAAAGAAATGCACTAATCTATTTAACTTGACTAGATAGAACATTTGTGTACACCACTATTTATGTCTGACTATTTATTTACGAATTATTATGTCACGCCATTCGCTGAACTATACTCTACTCTGCTTCCCTCTCCCGGCCGTGGACCTATATAGTTCGCATCGCAGGTACCCATTGATTCCAGAAGCTTCCGATGAACCACATAGCGGCAGTCTAGAATCTTCGAGGTCACTTCTCGTCGATCGCGAGTCGAGTCTCTGGCATTGTCCCCAACAGATGTCGCCAGCAGTCTCGCACCGAAGGAGAGACTGGCGCGGTCCCCAACAGATGGCGCCAAGAGTATTATTCATTCTTGCTACAATACCATAAAATTATAAAAAGGGTAGTTTCCATTTGAATAATTTGACTTTTTGGGTTTTTGAGATCTAATCTACGCTATACCATTACAAATCATATGACAAAGGCAATAATACGAAAATGAACTGTTGTAATTAAGTGGCCTGCATCTGTCACTTTTTATGCAGAATTTGAAGTATCTCCAACACGGCTGGAATGTTATACATGTCATGTGATTGGAAACTCGCGTAGAATGCAGTGTTCTGTATAAAATGAGCAATTTTATATTTACTTCGCGTACAACCTGCCTTACGTCAAGCTGATAGTTTTCGAGACAAAAACAAAATGGCGAAATATGTCAGTTTCCCGTTTCGATAACGAGAAACAATTACGAAAAAATAAAAATTTGTTGTCAATGTTCCTGAATATTCTTAAAACATCCATTAACAAAATCTTTCATGATGTATTGTTATGGGAAACCTTTGTTTTTCAATTGTTAATCGAGCATCTCTCTCGCACTCATGCAGAGCATACACTAAGCGCGCACTCGATTAACAATTGAAAAACAATGATTTACAATAAATAGCAATGCGTCCTAAAATGCTTTAAGATTTTGTTAATGGATGTTCGAAGAATATTCAGCTACATTGGCAAGTTTAAAATTTTCATTCTTTCATATTGTTTTTCGGGATCGAAAATGACATATTTCACTTTGTCAAATATTGTATCGCTTAAAAAAATAATCATGTTTAGAGAAAAGTTCTCAAGCATCTTGACTGCTCAGCATGTCCCAAACAATCAAAGCACTTTGAGCGGAGCGAAAAAAAATATTTTTTCAATTAGTTAAAATAATTTTTTTAAGAATTTTTTGACGCATATTTGGTCCTGGCAAGATTAAAAATCTGAATCAGAATATTTTTCACATCAGATGCGCAGACATTGCCCGAAGTTGGGGGAAATCCTTTCTTGAAAGACTGATGTGACGTTTAAGAATAAGCAATGGTCGGACATGTTCTTGGCATTGGTGTAGGATTTTTTCCAGTATGGGATTCGAACCCATGCAAATCTAAACGTTGGATACGTATGGAGGCGTGCGCACGCAAAATTGTTGTATCGAGGAGATACCGCAGCCATGGTAGACCAGGTGTTTCAAATACGACCCTTGCTATATATATATATATAACTTGAGACGTGGTCATTGTCGTCTAGACCAGTTAGGTGAAAAATTAAAGCTTCCGCCTTTTGTTGGGTACTTCGACCAAATTTAAGCAAAGAGGACTCTTTATACTTGTTTAATTCTCTCTAGCTTTCAATGGACTTTGCCATCATCATCAGGAGAGTAGTATGTGAGGATGTTGCTAATTGTTGTTTACGTTCAGGATGAGGGAAACACCCAGTAACATGGTGAAAGCTGGATAGATGGTACAATGGTCAAAATTATATAACATACAAATGTGTGACAAGAACAAGTTAAAAACAGATAAAAAATTTTTAGAACATTACATCGTGAAGCCACAGAAATTTTTAATCTGTTTTTAACTAGTTCTTGTCACACATTTGTGTGTATTTTATATAATTTTGACCATTGTACCATCTATCCAGCTTTCACCATGTTACTGGGTGTTTCCCTCATCCTGAACGTAAACAACAATTAGCAACATCCTCACATACTACTCTCCTGATGATGATGGCAAAGTCCATTGAAAGCTAGAGAGAATTAAAAAAGTATAAAGAGTCCTCTTTGCTTAAATTTTGTCGAAGTACCCAACAAAAGGCGGAAGCTTTAATTTTTCACCTATATATGTATATATGCATAATTCAGATAAATTGAAGGAATCCTTGGCTAATGATATTATGAAACAAATGGAGATATGATAATTTCAAGACCTACTTAGGGAATTCTATCTCTTAACACGTTTTTATTAGCTTGACCTGTAGATATGTAACGGATTATTTCAGCCTAATATTCACCAGTTTCAAGAAGTCTGACTAATTTCAAAACTTGCACAGGATACAACACAATGATCTTGGAAAAAAATTGAATTTGAATATTCTCAAAAAAATGAATTTTTAAATTTAAAAAAAAATAGATTTGAAAATTTTAAGAATAATTGGAAAGTTTTTTCTACTTTTCAGTTCGATTTGATATTAAAGCTTGTTTTTTAGTCTTTTAAACTATAAATTATTTGAAATAACTAAGGTTCGATAATGTCAATGTATAGTATGTCATTTTAGAATCAGAATTAATAGCTTTTTACTCACCTCTGCAAATATTTAATATGGCATCTATAAGAAAAAAGTAGAGACGATGATTGGGGACAAGAGGCATAACGTCATATTAAACTTCTAATTACGCCGTCTTGTAGAGGAATAAAATTGGCAATGTTAATGTAGTGATTATTTCATTCATCCCATCTGTGAATAAAGCCATGGAAAAACAGAAACGATTTTGGGGAAATTCGATCTCTTTGGCCTATCCCAGGAAATACTTGCAATTGCAAAATTATGTAGTTGTCACGTTTTTAGTTACTTAGGCCCGTATCGTCAGTCGTCCCTACAATTGTAGGGCGCGTTTATGGCCTCCTTGATTGTCATACTCCTTTCTCTCCTTCAAAAATTTCTAGATTACACTTGTCCCGTGTCAGCGTCAGCGCTCTCCTATTGTGAAGATATATTTTCTTTTTAAATTGTCGGAAATTTCAGGCTGATAAAACATGATATAACTCAAAAGCAAGCACAATTTGATGCAAATAGATGTTTGTGACATAACCTCAAAATAGAGCGCTGACACGGAGAAATAGAAAACTATGACAATCAAGGGGGCCATAAAGGCGCCCTACAATTGTAGGGACGACTGACGATACGGGCCTTAAACACGCAAATTTGCCCCCATTCAATTAGCTTACCATTTCCGAGATCCCAATGCTGAGAGTCGAATTTGAAACACCCAGTATATATAGTCTTAGCAAATCAAGTACCTGTTTAATTATGTTCATCTAGATGTCCAGTTTTTCTATACGGTAGCATGAACTACAACTAGTTTTCAGTGGCAATCATCGTATTCAATGTCATTGCTTTCATGTGTGAATCGTTTTACAGGTATAGCGAAGTCCGCCTATGTGCAAAAATTACCTCCCTGATATGGAAAACTGAAGATGATGTCGTTTTATAATTGCATCGAGACATCACCAGTCAAGTGAAGTCGATACAAGTAGGATCACTTTATTCGTGTTCTCTAGTTGGAAAGTGTGTGAGTAGATAGAAAAGTCAGGGGATGCCTGGTTTGAGTTTGAGCAATGGCCTTTTACTGTTGCTTCCAGTCTATATCTTCGCTCACTGTAATGTAAGTACGCTCTTTATCTCGCTAAAAAATTTCGTTAGTCTGACTGTCTCTGATCTACCCGATAATCCCTAGCCACTGTATAACCAAAAAGTAGTGCTGGGATTTCGATAAATCTTTTAAATAGTTATATGCCTAATAAGTCCGGAAAATATACTTTCCGCAAGTGTTAGGAATAAGATTTTTTCTAACAGCTCAGCGCTAGAAAATAATAAACCCAGAAATTTGAATACGTACTGTTTTATTAGAAATTTGATAATTGTAAAATCAACATCATCAACAACAATAACATCAATAATTCATTTATAATAATTATTAAGAGTATTAGAAATAAAAGAACAGTTATTTAGATTATGAAAACTTTTAGGTGTTCTCGAAGCAGAACTAGTACCTGCCCTACCGACAGTACCGACCATCTGGCAATGTTGATATGACTAATCTCGTCACTTATCACTCTCCAGTCACCCATTCTGAGGCATCATAGCAGATATATCCATGTTCTTTGCGGTAGATATATAGATCTTAAGCACTATAAGGTGTCTTCTGAAAATATCGGGATCCTCTGAAAATTCAAAAAACAGTTTGAAACATTTTCTTTTTTGCCCGTAGTTCCACCGCCACTGTATCGATATTTAAAGCTTTTTCATCCCTGGAACATTTGCAGCCTTTTGTGAAAATTTTATCAAATTCTGACCGGTGCTTTGCAAGTTATTAGATAGGCAGGCGGACAGACGGATGGACTTAAGTTGACAATGAGTACAATACTTCCCCGGCGAATTACTCAAAATTTACATTTTGTAACTAAAAATAGTTTTGCATTCAATTTAGTAAGAATGCAGTAATTGTTGTCGCAACTTTTTATGCTCTGTTGATCATTAAAGAAGCTTAATAAAATAAATAATAAAATATTGATTACTAGTGCGTCGTTGTTATAATAACTTAACCGCTATTATCACTACTTTGTAATGATGAGTGGTCAATTTAAATATAATGTGCGTGAAGCTTAAATTTCGTACGTTATCACTTTAACATTGCCAGATAATAGCGCTTTTCGAGAACTATTCTCTTGTAAAGAATTTTTATCGGGCTTTAAAGAGTAGTAAGGGACAAAATGGAAGTACAGATTGACTAAAAGTCCTTTTGAGCCGTTTGTAAAAAATGGCGACAGATAGGTTTAACTAATTAAGATCAGGACCTTGAGAAAATTAGTTACGACTATGTACAATAGAGCAATTAAATGGATCAAGTCAGTCAAATAGGCCCATACACTTAGTCCATAGGCGTTATGTTATGTCCTTGTCCTACTGGTAGTTACCGTTCATCCGGCATCTCTCATATGGTTAGACGCGGCAACGCTCACCAAACCACTACTACAGTGCGAGTAGAACAATCAAGGATACCATTACGACGGGCGCTGATCACAGATATCAGAAGGAGACGAGTATTCTGAGTTTTAAAGACAAAGATACGAGGTAACCTATCGATGCGTGAAATTCGCGGGGCTGGGTACGTATACCGTATAAACGTACTAAGATCAAAAAATTGAGATATAGGGTAAAACCGGGATAGATGCCCCACTTTTTGAAATATTTGCCTAATTTTAAGACTATTAAATTTATACAAATAAATTCTATGAATGTTGCTAGTTCAATCCCTTATGTTGAATAACTATCATCAGTTTTGAATCTATCAATTACAGATTTCACAGAAATCCACTTTTCGTGGAACTTCTTTTTTGAGGATAGATGCCTATCTATATGGATAGTTGCCCCGCCATGGTAAAAAACTAAAAAGGATAGATGCCTATAGCGCAGGATAGATGCCCTTCATATCCTGTAAACAAAATACTCAATCCAAATGTTAAGAAGTTCTGCTCCTAAAACAGCAGCACATTGTCTCCAAGAATCATGGGTCATAATAATGAAAACATTATGTTTTTATTTAATATTTTTATTGTTCTAATTAGAAGATAATATTAATATCACATAAAGTAGGAACCCTTATTAAACATTTTAGAGGGTTTGTTTAATTAACATATAAATTCTCAAGTTTCAACATTCATAATTATATTTTTTGGTAAAATCAACTTTACAAGCTTTAAACCAACAAAAAACGTAAATTCTAAATTGTTGTTATAAACTATTCGTACCTATATTAAGTATCAGTATAAACCTTCAGCTTGTCTGATAGATAGTTCCGGATTTCGTTCAATAAAACTTTTGAACCATGCGCCTCCAGCCATTTCATTATCGTGGTCGAAATTATGTTTTAGATTTAGTTTTTCAGCAAATTAATAAGCTAACATGCGTATGGCTTGCCTTTTTGGAGGAAATCCTGCCTCACCAAGTTTAAGAATGTGTTTTACTAGCCTATTCTCGTTGTCAAAATCTAAAACAGGATGCTTTCCTAAAACAAATAACTAACGTTAATTAAATATATTAGAAACTAGTGATAGCAATCAGTGAAATAAATGTTTATGATATCTTGTACTAGCTACATGATTTTTAATACATACCCATCGTCAATTTTGTTTTATTTTTGACAGCATATCGTCTTCTCAATGTCCTTGATGGAATACCAAATTGACGGGATATTTCGTTTATCCCCATAGTTTTTTTGTCCATTTCATCAAAAGCTGCCTGTAGGCTTTCTGTAGTTCAAAAACATACTCGAACTTGCACTCCTTCCTTTCTCTTACATGTTCGTGGCATGGTTCTGCTAAAATCAGTAAAATGTCCAAATATAAATATACGTAAATATAGAAAATATCACATAAACTAAAATATTTAAATATAATAATATGTATCTGCTTATGCCATATAAGGTTTAAAGTGGGATAGATGCCCCTAAGGGCACCTATACCTCAAAAAATTAGGTCAACTATCCTCTGTGATAGAGATAGATGCCCAAGTATTTATTGAATAAATTATAAACAAAATAGTACACACACACTTAATGAACTAGTGAATTAACGTTATAAGGAATATAACGGAATTTATTACTAACTATAAAGTTATACAAAACAAAATACTAACCTTCAAAACTTTGACGTGTTCGTAAATTTCGCCGCGGATATAATGACACACACGAGCGAAATGCGTCCTCTCAGCACGATTGTCCGTGGTAACTAAGGTGCGGGGTTAGTGCGGCCCGCTACTCGTACAATTAATTTTTAGTCTCGCGTTCGGGAAGTTAGGTTTTTAGAATATGAAGCATCTATCCCGCTGCGGCGTCTATCCCGGTTTTACCCTATATTATATAATTTTTTACCAATGTATTTTTTTCGAAAATGATCTTCTGAAACTTGAAAAATCGACGTTTGAGCGTCTTTTATATTTTTTCGTTTTTAGCTTTTTTCTGCCGCCACTGGACCAATTGTCGAAAGCTTTTCCGTCCCTGCCATAGTAGTTACCTCTTGTAAAGATTTCATCCAAATCCGAGGAGTACTTTCCAAGTTATAGGGGCCATGAATTATCGGATAGACCGACGGACAGACAGACAGACTGACGGAAATGAGTGACATGGTTTTTCGTGGTCTACAGGTTATATAGTATAACATCCAAAAAACATAACATTATCTCGTTTTCGAAATTTTTCGCGACCACAATACTACTCACCCAGTGTGTGTAGGAAGTTAGAGGAAGAATTTTTTCTGTTTTGCTGTACGAGGTAGAATCAATACCCAACTTAACTACTACCTCTTTAAATAATAAATAAGTCGGTACAATAAGAATGTTTGATTAGCATCACTCGGAGAACACCACCTCAAAGTTTGAATCAAATCCACCGGATCCACCGGAATCACTTTTCCGATAAGGGTGGTGCGTGGTCCTTCATTTCAATGATAACGTACCTTTATACACACAATTGATGGAGACCCAGAAAAAATAATTTCTCCAACTTGTTTTTTTTGCAACATAATGACTATATTTAAGACATGCTGTGGCAACAATGTCAACGTTTTTTTTTTTATTTTAACGAAAACAATGCCCTCTAGGAAAAAACACAAAAGTAATTATTTGTAGCAAATTGATGGTAGAATTCGAAAAATTGCACATTTCGAAAAAAAAAACAGTAGCGTACTATTTTTATTTGGAAAAATAATGCTACTAACCCCCTTTATCTCCGCCACTGGTGCACGTTAATTTTAAGTATAAACTTTTGAATGTGGCCAATACCTAGGTAAATTCACATACTAAATTTTAGTTCATTCCAGTTGACGGTTTTGAAGATATTAAAAAAAATGTTTTTTATTTTTGAAGTTCAACGCCCTCGAGAAAAGAATGTTACATAGAAGACCTCCCTTAAAATATGGTCATGTGTATGATGTTTCATTTTGGTCGCGATTTATAAATCACCCTGTATAATAGGTATATGAAAAAGTACATGGTAGTATGTAGTTCGAACGTGTGTGCTTTTTGTCTTGTTCGCCTTGCCATATTTTAATTAATCATTCAATAGAAGTTGTTGACAAAAGTGGTTGACAAAAGGACAAGGCTGCATAATCATCAGAATTCCAGAAATCAGGAAATCTATTATAAAAAATGGCATCAAGTAGATTAATTCTAAACTTCCCACGCCTCCCAGACAACTTCCAGTACAATTTTACATATAGTGCAATGGCATCAAAAAAATACTCATACGAGCCCCTTCCCACTTCAGTTGGCCCGCTTCAAGGTTTGTACCAAAAGATGCCATTATAAACTAAACATGACGAAACTATTTACTTTCAAAACAATTTATTTTCTCAAAAACATTTTAGAAACTCTCTAGTCGTAAAAAATACATATTTTAAATCACTTAGACCTATAACTAATAGAACATCTGAACAAATAAACAATGTGCGAATAAATGCGCGAAGTTAACAAAGCAACAATTGAAAGATTACCATTGAGTAACATCACCTTTATTTTTTATTACGGCTGATATTCTTTGGGGCATAGTATTAACCAAGTTTTGGCAAAAAAAAACAGCTCACATTTCTTGAAGCTTTTGTCTCAGTTCGGTGATTGTAAGAGCAGGATGTTGTCGTAGAACCTTTTTCATCTCGTGCCACAAAGTTTCAATATGTGACAGATCTGGACTGCTAGAAACCCATTTCAAAAGTGGTACATTACTTTCTTCCATCCATTTTAAAGCCTTTTTTGAGGTATGACACGCTGCACCATCTTGCTGAAACACAAAATCTTGGCCGGATGTCAAACATTCTTCCATCACTGGTAAAAGCGATTCTTCTAAAATTGCCAAATATTTGTTTGTATCCACATGTCCATCAATAAAATGAAGTTTTCCTACTCCTTTTGATAACATACTACCCCAGACCATAATGGATGCTGGAAATTTCACTTTTCTCTTCAGACAGTCAACATGGAATGCTTAATTTTTTTTCCGAATAACTCTACTGCGACTGTCACCAACACAAACTTCGAATCGGGCCTCATCACTCCATTGTATTGCACACCATTGTTGAGGTGTCCATTGCCTATGTTCTTTAGCCCATCTAAGCCGATTTTTCTTTTGCAGTGGAGTTAATAGTGGCTTTTCTTTGGCCTATGAACAAGTTGTGCAACTTTAGGGTCTTTACTTCACTTTTTTTATAAGAAAACTTACATTGCAAGTGCTAAATCCCAGTTTGTGGGCCTCTCTATGAGTTGTGGACCTCGCAATTCTACTTCCAGCAGCGTCACTCCACAGAGCACTTAATTGTAAATAATTGGCATGCCAGTTTTTCACGATTATTCTTCTTAATGTTCTTCGGTCGGCATTTGTGATATTACTTTTTTTCACATATCGTGGCTTAATATTAACTGGACCAGTTACGTTATATCTTCTAACAATATTTCTCACACTGTACCGCGATAAGTCTAACAAAGTTGCAATTTCTGAGTTTGATTTCCCAGAATTAAAAAATTTAATTATCAGTAACCGAATTTTCTCAATAATAACCTTTCCTCTACCCATTTTGAAAACCTTAACTACCCAAAACTATTTTAAACGTATTCTGACAGCTGTGATTAATAAAAACAATGGTCATGGCTTTTATTTTTCACAGCCACGTATGCGTTATAGACTTATTTTGCATTGAAATGAAAATAGGTTGATATGCTGTAATTGCAACATGTGTTATTTTTATGCTGCAAATTTGATTAGGGAGTGATACAGTAGGTGTTTTCTACTATATATTATCAAAATATTCATTGTTAATATTTTAAACCTATAACACCCTGATACATTTATATTATTTGTGTTTGATAAGAAAAAAACTAAGATTCCAATAGTTGGGCCAACTGAAGTGGGAAGGGGCTCGTATTGCAGCAATTAGCGTGTCTGTACACAGTAGCTTCACTTCCTTGAAGCTCTGGTATAAAACTGCTTGTCAAGAAAGTTCGATGACCGATTATAATACGTTTTAATACGTACTTATAGGCCTCGACATTTTTAGTGTTATCCACAGTCGATTGCCACTTTTCTCTGCTACAACTGTTTTGTAGTTTTTGCATCCTGTTCTCAGTGGCAGCGAGAGATACGAGTAATCAACTACACAGCAGTAAGAAAGTACAGGAAAGATCGTTACATTATATGCTCCCTATTGTTGATCCTCCAGATTACAACCGCAACGGTTGAAAGAAGCTTTCCGAAAAAAGGATTAAATTGGAATATGTCCCATTCACACATTGGAGCCAACGTTACCACCAATCTTGGCGCTAACATGGTGTGACATGCTATCATCTGTCACCAATGTTGGCCAATCCCGACAAAGCGGCATTGATTTAGTGATCACACATTGGTGTTGGCCTGCGCTGGCCCAATATGTGAATATGAACCCAAAGATAGATAAAATTTCGGAACACTGTAACTGTCTTTATCTATAAAGGATTTAATAAAGAAGCTTTTCCGAATAAAAGGTTAAAAGTAGATTGATTCGGTACTTCCTTCCATACGTATAAATTGAAAATCCCTGAATCACAAATGCTTTTTGAGCCTAAACCAGGGTTCAACGGCTGGTTTCACAAATCATGTGACAGTGCTCGCCAGCAGAAGATCAAGGCACACAGAACCCACTGAAGGGAACAGCCAAGCCGACGTCGAGTCCAGAAACAAATATAGCGAAGCGGTTCGCAATGCCAAGAATCAGCATGACGTAAAAGTTAGGCACTTCTCACACAGTAGCCTTCCACCACTTACGTGTCAGGATGGAACGAGTGTATCCGACTCAAAGCCCAACGCGGAAGTGCTTGCCATGATCTTTGCTGCCAACTCCAGCATGGACGTCCCTACACTATGCGGGAGGTTACATTCAGGCATAAGACCGTAAGACGAGTGCTCTTATCGCTCGACATCAACAAAGCTTCTGGTTTGGACTTGAATCCTGCCATCGTTCTGAAGAGGTGTGCAGCGGAGCTTGCTCCAGTTCTTTCGCGTAACTTCCAGATATCTTATGAATCCGGCACACCTTCCTCGATAACTGGATATTTGCTCATGTCTAACCCATCCCAAAAAAGGGATCTAAGACTGACCCTTACAACTACAGGACTATAGTTCTGCTTTCTGTTATAGGTAAGGTGATGGAGACGTGCATAAAGCGCGAGCTTATGGACTACCTCGAACGTCACAGCTTGATTAGCGGCAGGCAATATGGGGACCTCCTCGCTTACGTCACGCAATTGTGGAGTAAACTCATCCAGACTTATGGTGAGGCTCATGTCGTTGCTCTTGACATCATGAAAGCGTTCGATCAGCTGTGGCACGCTGCCCTCTTAAGCCAGCTTCAATCCTATGACCTCCCCGAAGAGCTTTGCAGATGGGTGGCGGACTTAATCTCAGGCCGCAAGATATCTGTTGTAATTGACGGGTTCTCCCAGAACCTCAAGGCGGGTGTTCCCCAGGGATCGATCTTGGCTCCAACACTGTTCCTTTTACATATCAACGACCTCCTTTTCTGCACGATCAACCCAATCAACATTTTCGCTGATGACAGCACTCTACATGCAGGAATTCAGAGTGAAAAGCCGATCTCTGCCGCTGAGCTGGAAAAAAGAAGACTAGCGACGACTTCCTCTCTGACGAAAGACCTGGAGGTTATTACTGCTTGGGGACGCAACATTCTTGAACAGTTTAATACATCCAAAGCTCAATACTGTACCTTGACGAACAAAAAGCGTCCTAGCGCTCATCCGGTTTCGATGGATGACCGAGTTCTGCCAAAGAGCCATTCGTTTCAGCTGGTCGGAGTCCAGATCACCGAGAACCTTATCTGGCCCGAACACATCTCGTCAATAGCGGCAGCTCCTGGGAAAAAGCTAGAGTATTTGTTTAGGGAAGTATTTTTCTCCGCATCACCTTCTCACTCTATGGCCAAATAAGGCATAGCCTCGAGTATTGCTCACACGTTTGGGGTGCTGCCGCCCCGACTACATTATTTATGCTCGATGACTCTTCTCTAACAGACGGTCTCAGGACCACCAACGGGCTTTGCTCCTTAGAACTCTCTTTCATGATGCCGCCGCGCGATGTGCTCGCCAGACAGACCCGCCTGACTTTGGCCTCCCATCCTAACATTGTCGAACTTCGTACATCCAGAACTGGCCGGTACGACCGCTCCCTTGTCCCGAGGGTGTCGAATAATCTACAAGAGGAAGCTTTTCCCAGTTCTACTAACCTTAGGCAGTTCAAAAATCGGATTAACAAAATTTCTTTGGAATCATCATAGCAGCCGCGGTGTCCCGGCATTTAGGCTTCTGCCTGCGCGGCTGCTTCGGTATAAAAATAATATCTTCGAAGACACCCTAACCTAAAGTATTTAGAAGCGACGAAAGTAGTTTTTTCAAAATTGTTGCCTTTCCGAAAAATGTTTACGCCCAACAATTTTTATAAGATGACACAAAAACAAACTTTGGGAACGATTTGACGCTGTTTTGTCTTTACTCATAATACCGCTGAGATTTCGGGATTCTTAAGAATCGATGCAGCCATTTCCGAGATCACGAGAGTGACATAATACCAACACAGTGAGGGTCCGACAAACAGACAGACTGAAATAAGCGATATGAGTTTAGGTGTTATAGAATTCTCAAGACATGAAAAAAAAGTGTTATTTGTAATTCTGAAATTTTCACTGTCACATCACCTTCCTCCCTTATGCTTGAGGAATGAAGGACCAGAAAACGGAGTTTTCGTTGGTTACTCATCTTGGAGTATTAATTGTAAAAATCAGTACTTAGTCAATATGTAACTATATACTAATATTATTCAATGCTAGCGTCGTCACTGGACCGATTACCAAAAACTTTTGGTCTTTGGCGGCCATAACAGTAACCTTGTGAAAAAAATTTCAACTAAATCGGAGCAGTACTTTCCACGTTAACGTGGAGCCAAGGATTAGCGGACAGACAGATAGACTGACGGAAATGAATGACATGGTTTTTCGTGATGTTCATGTCATATAACGTCCAAAAAACAATATATCATGTTCGATATTCAATACTCCTTAGCCAGTAGACGTGGGGAGTAAAAATATTTACACGACTAAAAATAAGAATATTTATTGTACGTACGACAAATTTCGGAGAAATCACAATGGATGAATAATCAATAATATTTCAACTTATTACAGGATTACGACCTAACAGTAACCCTAAGGAATCCCCCAAGTAGTCGAGTAAAAGGAGAGTGTAGAAGTAGCGGCCAAGGAAGAACTTATCACTCATTCTCCAATATACCTTATGCAGAGTCCCCTGTAGGAAAAAGAAGACTACAGGTAGACAGGAATAAGTATAATTATCCATTGTGATATACTTAACCTCAAAAACCCAGGTCCACTAAATGGAACGCCCTTAAAACACGTATATAAAAAAGTCCACCCGTTAATTTTGTACGCTTTTTAGTTTCCATTTTTTTTTAAATCGATTATAGACATTAAGGGACTGTATTACATACAACTCGTAAATCGGTGTTCTTTATACTGAAGCAGTCTGGTAGGTAGAAGCCTAAATAACCTACCGTTGATAAATAGAGCTCCATCTAAATTACTAAAGTAAGTGGCTTGATAGAAATTTAAAATATTAATAATAGACTTGAACAACCTACTATGTATCTCACTAAAGACGTAAGATCAGGTGCAGAATACGTAAGTTGACATTGACAACTTTTTTGGTCGGTTGAATGAGATCTATCAACTGGTATATCATAAACCGAAAACACAACCTACATAAACGAGAACTCAAAAAAGTTAGAAATAGAAATCAAAAGCTCACAACTTGAACAAGTAAATTTTTTTAGTATAAACACATTTCACTAAGAATCTCAGTCATACATCCAGTGGACTCGGGTTCCGACATTTCAACCTACGAAGGCTCCAGTATTGAATCTATTTGATAGGCCATCAAGCACCTTTTTCCTACAATTTTTACGACAGTTAATTTTTTGGTCCCATCGTTAGACTGTAGCTTCCCAATATTAAGTTTAAAATGACGTCATGATAGGGCTGTAGCATTTGCCGTTATTTTGATAAACCCGTCTGATCGAATATCTCTGAAGCCATCAATTCTAAGTAAAATGTGATAATCAACAGATTACGAGAAATTAAAGTGTAAAAAAAACCTAATAAAACACTTCCACTTTTATGTAGAGAATGATATTTGCTACAAAGAAGGTCTGCCAATGAGACTTACGGTCGCAAAAATTGTAGGATATTCTTATGCAAAATCTCTCTATTTCTTAGCTAATATCTAATAAGATGCTTTATGTAGCCTGATTTGCTGTCAGGTTGTTCTTCTAATACAGAAAGACGCCAAAAATAACAAACGAGAGCCTTTTACTTACCGCAGTTTGTAGAACCAATAAATAGATATGTAGCTTGAGTTTTCCGAACCGAAAAGCCGTATACGATAAAACTGTCAAAAATTGTAAATTTTGGTATGACCGTGGTATTTGGGCGGGTTTACTTGAAAAATATATTTTATTTCCAGAAACCTGAACCCAAAAAGTCATGGAAGGGAACCCATCAATCTTCTGGCAAAAAGCGAGAATGCGTGCAAGATTCTTTTTTACCAGGCATAGATTTGACATTTGGAACTGAGGATTGCTTAGTCCTTAACGTGTATACTCCTGTGGTAAAATAATTCGGTCTTTAAAATTATGCCTAATGCTTGGCTATGCTCTTCAGTGGGCTCAGTGATCAGTAAATTATTCGTCGATAAGGTCAAATGCTTTTTAGTTTCCTTAAGATTGAGAAATTGTTATATATATTAATATTAAAATTGCAGGTAGTGAAAAACTCATCGACGTTGCTCCCAGTGCTATTCTTTATCCATGGAGGTGGTTTTCAAACTGGATCAGGAACTAATATGGTTGGATTGGGTTTTGATCAGTATGATCCTTCCTTATTCATGGACCAAGAGATTGTTGTAATTACTATAAACTACCGACTAGGAGCTCTAGGTAGAATATTTTTTTTCAATGTATTGAACCAGTTGTTGGTTCAGACAATTGGCGCGTCTAGGACACTCAGATTAAAGCAATCAATAACATCAATCATTTGAGGTTTTAGATTTGCATATTTAGGTATTATACATGATACAGAAAAACAAATATTTTTTTAAGGTTTTCTAACAACGGAAGATGAGGTAATACCTGCTAATCTAGGTTTGAGAGATCAAAGTTTGGCACTAAAATGGGTTCAAGGGAACATTGATATGTTTGGTGGAGATCCTAAAGACGTTGTTATCTCTGGAGAAAGTGCCGGTGCTGCTTCAGTTTGCCATCTTCTTCTTTCTAATGTACCAGGTAAGTTTCAATAAATAAAATAAAAAAATACATTTAAGAACAACCTTTTATTTGGCTGTTTGACTAATAATTCAAAAATAATTTTTCCGATTGGAAATATTTAAACGATAATGAAACTCCTTCATCTTAAGTCTTCAAATAAAGTCATGTTACACCCTTTTCTCATCGTGCTGTCAAACACCCCTCAAAAAATTTGCTACCCCGCCCTTAAAAAAAATTAGAAACTGAAACAAAAATTCAAAAAGTTTCTTCTTGTTGATGTCCAATCGCCCACCCTGGAAAAAGTTCCTGCGGCCAACCCTGTCTAGACATCTATTTGCAACGGAATCGCCTTATATTCCAAGGGCGTACCCAGGGAGGCAGGGGGGCAGTTGCCCCCCTCTTCATTATTCTTTTACAGGGTTATCCACAAGCTGAATCAATAAGAAATTACTAGGATTAGTTGAAATCTATGTTAGATATAAACTTAACTTTGCTACAAACACTATACATGTTACGTGTGTTTCAAATTCGAACCACGCCTTTGGGATCTCGGAAATGGCAAAGAGAATGTCACACCATCAGTATTTACCGTGGTCCGTACCATCAGTGGATTTCTACGCAACATTATGGATCAATAATTACTGACGTCCAGCCTACACGGACAACAACTATCACATCTCATAATAAAATATATTGACGGATCACAGCACAATACTGATCCTGTGATGTTCGCCTATGCCCTTGACTACATCAACAAAGTTTCACTTGTTTCTCCCCCTAAGAAAATTCTTGATTGCATTCAAAATTATCAGCAAGGAAAAAAGATAAAGTCAAGTTTAGTGAGTTATAGATTTTTTGGCATAATTCTGGTACCATTAGACATGCCTTTCAAAATTTCTTCAAAATCCAGTGATACTTTCCAAGTTATAAAAAGACCAATGATTAAATTAGTTTTTGTTGACGGTTACTCTATTGCAACAGGACTGATTAACAAAACTATAAATATTACCTGACGAAAGCCACAATGTTATATCTGAATTCTGAAAGTTTTTTTGCGGTTATAGTACTTCCCTGGTCTGAAAAAATGAGCACCGGGCTTGAATTTTTATGGATATGTACGCCCGAAAAATAGGTATCTACAATTTGCAGTATAGCAAACAAACATTTGTCTTATATAACCTCAAGTGTTGCTTTCAAGTATTGCAAACGATTATTACTTAAAAAAGCATCTCGTGCAATATTTGTTAGAATGTTTCAAAAAAGTAATCCTACTAGTTTTCCGTATTCATACGGTTTGTCAAATTAGCGTGAAAGATTCTATATACATTGGTAAAACGATTTAATGCTAATAGAAAGAAAAATATCAAGCATAGTTAAGTGGATATGATTTGTGGAACTTCCACAAAATGTTTGTTTGAGCTGGGTACGCCCTTATTATATACTTTGGAGTTAGTATGTTTTAGTAATACACTGCGAAAGAGACCTAGCTTCAATTTTGAAAGCGTTCAAAGTTTTTTTCTTATAGAAATGGAAGCAGTCACAGCCGGCATAATGACGAGTGGTACATGTTTATCTCCATTTGGCTTGAATATGGATGCAAGAGAGAAAGCCTTTGATGTTGGAAGAAAACTGGGATACCATTTTTCTGAAAACAACTCAGCTAGTCTTTTAAAAATATTGCAAAGCGTTCCAGTTGAAATCCTTTTCAACGTAACTAGGGTATGCACATCTTGCTCAGTTTTGCCCAGTTTAATTAACACTAGAAAATTCAGGGTCCTGGCCAATTTTTCCGTATCATATTGGCCAAGAAGCAGGGAGATATTGTATAAGGAAATCCTACAATTTCGGCGACTGTAACTGTTTTTGGTGGTATTATTGATTTCACATAACAAACTCATTATGAAAAACGCGTTTGATCCAAAATATTGAAAACCATTCTATGTAAAACACTAATAGCAACAGTTTTTCAGGCAAATAAGTTCATCTTTTCTCTTTTGTTATTGTTATTTTGATCGACAATCTCTGAAACCATCAATACTAAGTAAAAAAATGATAGGAACAATTTTGTAGGAAATTAAATTCTTTATCAAACACATATGTCGTTTACTCAACAGGTTACGAGAAATCAAAGGGTGAAAGTACATTTAAGGTTATTTCTACTTATAATGGCTAAGCTACGATTAATAGTATAAGCCATTACATTTTTGCAGAGAATAAAATTTGCTACAAACAAGTCTTTCACGTTTTTTTCTATACCTGTGACGGTTCTTGGGTAGGGAAAGAAAGTTGAAAATTCGTATCAAAAGAATCGCGCAACATACTACGCACGGTACGTAGCTACGTTGTCCGCGTAATGTGCATACAACATTATTTCATGTGGAAATAACTTGATGATCATTATACAAGGTGTCCCGTATCGTTATGTTCAAATTTTGGGAGCGGAAAGTACACTTCTCTTCAAATAATAAAAACGTAAGACTTATATATCCATTCTTATTTATTTTAAAGTTACACGCCCATGAACGTTATCTGTTTTTAACTTCTTATGGACGAACTGCACGGACTTTTGGAGGATAACCCACCGAATATTCGCCTACACATGTAGTTCCAAATGGATGCGGCTCCACCGCATTTCGGAATTGCTGCCCGACATTGGGTTACCGTCAACTATCCAAGATGGATTGGTCGAGGTGGTCCTGTTGCCTGGCTTGCTAGATCATCCGATCACAATCCCCTTGATTTTTATTTATGGGGATACATGAAAGCATTAGTCTATGCGCAAGTTTCAAATACAAGGGAAAAGTGGTTGTCGCATATTCAGGCTGCTGGACGAATACGACAAAACAGGGGCCAAATACGGATAACTACGTCATCTGTAGGCTTACTGACACAAAACTGCATTCAACAAGGAGGTGGACATATTGAAAATATTATCTATTGACCTTTCTTAAATAAAATAATTTTTTATTTACTTTACGAATTTATTTTTAGTATTATCTTCAAAAAATTTCCATGGGCGTGTAACTTTGCAATAAATAAAAATGGATATACAAGTTTTGCGTTTTTTTTTTACTTGAAAAGAAGTGTACTTTCCGCTCCCAAAATTTTAACATAACAATACGGGACACCTTGTATATTGAAAACAACATTTGTCGACGCCTTGAGTTGAATGTGTACGAGAGAGAAGTGTGTATAGACTCATATGTTAGAAAGAAATCGATGCCGCCTGGATAGCGAAGATCATCAACGCGTTGCCTAGCAACGCTGATGCGGCAATGTGCAACGTTGCCAATATGTTACGTTAGGTCCTTGGATTAAGATGCATATTGAATATATGCGATAGTTTATTCTTTACGTCCAAATAATAATTTCTGAATTGTGGATTATGTCGAATCTGTTTAGGATTGATTTCCGATCGGTCCTAACAGCGCTCCGTTTTAGGTCGAAATGAAAGGTCAGAAAATCTGCAACTGGTTCGTTTGATACCACTGCATCTTGTATATTCCAAGGCAAGGTTTCCACCTCCATGATAATAGTTTAGTGGTTTTGGTCAGTACCCATCTAGCGCTGGTAGTGATAATTTGTATTCCGTAAGGATATTTGTTACATTTTGCGACAGCGCTCAGGATGTGTTGATTTTATCACCATCAGTGAAAATCAAAGGTAATTCTGAAATAAATTAAAACGCGTCAAAATTAAAATAATTCATTCTAAATGAAATTAAAACAAAATATTAAAATAAATGTTCGAGCAGATCATCCTTCTTGGATTTGACAGTAACCTAACCTATTGTAACCGTTGCCAGACGTGGTGATAGACTTCGCTCTTCAGCCGGCTTCTATCTCTTTTTAACATCTGTTGATACACAGTTCTCGTGCTTCTCTCTCATACACATTGAGCTCAAGCCGTCAGACAAATTTAGTTTTCCCTGTATATGATATATGTACGACGTTCAAGTACGGAAAATGTAATATTTTCATTATGATTGGCGATTTTGTCACTGAGCAATTTCAGTAGTCGTACGTAGAGTGTGAATTTTTGACTTTTGCTCATTATACAGGGTGGGTCATTTAGTTGAGCGAATTTTAAAAAATCATAGAAAAAAACTACAAAGCGTAGGGAAGATAATTTATATTCTTAATAAAGTAGACACATGGGATTTTTTTTAAATATCATCATTGAGATGTAAGCCATCGAGACGTACGCACTCAACGAATCTCGACTTCAAATTCGTGGTCCGATACCGGTAATTTTGCTTGTTGACAAATCCACTCAAATGAGAATGAGCTTCATCAGAAAAGAGAATATTCTTCAAGCTTGGAAAGCGCTCTAACATGGTTTGGATAAACGCACGGCGCTTACACTTTCCTCTGTTCGTATTGGCCTTGGATGCCCCGCAGGTTCCAGTGTCGAACCGGTAGACTCAAACTTACACTCACGACACCGCGCAATAGTGCACGCATCTCCATTTTTTGCAATAACCCTTAAGGCGGCTCCGACGCAGTGAGTTTCAAGCCATTTACAAGGGTTCAGCTGATTCGAAACTGACACTCCATTTTTCAATATTTTTGAATGAAAGTCATACAGTATGTCGAGAAGATAATTGCCCAGGGTTTAGCACTTTTTGAAATTTTGTTTTTGAACAAGTTTTATGATGGGTTGAAGTGCGCACTTTTTCTGTTCAACTTCGCGATTTTTTTAAAAAGAACCTAGTGAAAAAAATGAAAAAGTGGCTCTATAGCACCCTGTGGGGTTTTGTTTTCAGCACACTGTGAGAATTGCATACAAAACTATCAAAAAATAAAGCGTCAATTTCGAAGCGCGCAAATCTCTACAAATAGTATTTTGGACGAATTTTGTCTACTATTTCGTGCTGCCAACCCAAGCGTTGCGGCGCAATGTACGAACTAAGTAAGGATGTATTCAAATAATTTGGTGGCCCTATTTGATATAATATAGCGTAAATAAGTCGTTCTGCAAATAGGTACTCATAAGCGCGATTGCTGATACTCCTCGACTTTAAAGCCGTTTTACTTCCCACTCCATTGGCGAGGAAGTATTGTAATCGCGAATAATTTCTAAAATGAGATGTTAAGTTTTTTTAAGTCATATGATATCTACATCACGAAAAACATAACATAAAAAAATGGTACTGCTTAAAAAGGGGGGGTTGAAATCAGTGAAACACGTTCTATTATTAAGAAGCTGCTGATCCCAGTGATTACAGGAAATTTAAGTAACGAAATCCGACGAATAATGTGCTCACGATTTGAAAAAATCGGTACCTGCTCTATAGATTTGACACCAAGAGCCAACAGATCTGCAACTACCGACAGTAGGGAAGAATAAATTCGGCTATCACTCCAGTCAAGTATAGAGGAATTTAGCGTGTAACTTTAAAATTATCGATATGTCAAGTAAATATGTTTTTGAGAATGATAATTTGGTAGATATTATATCTGCATTTTTATTTGAATTCCATGACCTGTTCCGTCTAAGAAAAAATGTATTCAAATAATTTGATATCTTACCTAAAATAAATTCAAGAACTCAAATTCAAATTCGTTTATTCATGTCAATAAACACAATTATGTTTACAAGGGTCATGTGGTACATGGTAACAATTGAACGAGGGTCATAAAAATATCTTACGCGGTCAAAATAAGAGGAAACAGTTAGGTAGTGCAAAGCAATAAACAGGTAGGCTTATACCTGTATTAAGTACATGTCTTGTCTACTGTAATAAGTAGATGGAGGTGATGCTGCCAGAAATGGATGTATGCGATCAATAATCAAACCACAAGATTGAACTGCCGTGTCCAATGATTTTTGTATTGCCTTTTTTTATTGCCTTACTAGAAAACTCTGTTCGGTATATGACGGAGTTTACTAGAACTTTACAGCTTGTTGTCTGCCTTCTTCTACAAACTTCACCAAATCGAGACGCTGTCAACCTTATTATCCTCCGATGAAAACGCCACAAAGTACAGTCATGTGATTTGGTGACTTATTCGATCTGCAAAATCTAGTCGTCACTTTTTCTAAGTTTCCCTTAAAATTCTTGCTTAGCAACCTCCAAATCAATGTAACCCCCCCCCCCCCCAGATTGGTACTCGTGATTGTAGGAGCCCCGTTAACACTCAACGCACACTGCTCACCGCTGAAATGCCCCATGGAGACTAAATTTCCAAGCACCAAGCTACTTATCCCCACTACCCTTGTGCCGCCCCCGCGTGCCAGTCACGAGCAATGCAATCAATCAAGGTGTGTATGTAGAAAATTTTATTCTCTATAAAAAAAGGATAGTAGTCTTTAAACACTTAGGTTTTTAGTTTAGCAGTTATAAGCGAACATATCATCAGATGTACCTTTACCCCTATATTTCTCGTAAACTGTATACCAATTTGAACTTATGATTACGAAGCCATAATCCAAAAAATTTACTGTCGCAAAGTTTGTAGGAAACATCTGTTTGTTGGCCTATAAGATCAGCCTAGAATTGTATCCGCACGATTTGTAACAACAGAGCAGACGCGTAGTAGCCTTTTTTTAAATGAAGTAAGTTTTCAGACAATTTTTTAGAGTCGATATTTGCCTTTCAAAAGCGACGACGGAAGCATACCCATGAAGTGGTCACCAGTGTATGCAAAGGACTTCTATCCAATTGGACCAATGACTGAAGCTGTAGACCAAGGACGGTTCCAGAAGGTCCCACTTTTGTTTGGCTTAAACTCAGAGGAATGTGTGTCACCCCTCTATATGTACTTTCTGCCACAAATCAAACAAAAAGCTAAGATTTGGGATAGAGATATTTCGAAAATGATTCAAGTGAACTTGAATGTACATGATAGATACAAGGCTGCTGAAGATATGAAAGCGATTTATACGAATAGCAGTTTTTATAAGGATTTAGCAGCGATGATCAAAGTAAGAAAACATGTTATTTTTTTATTTCATTATAATCAAAAGCATATATACGTATACTAAGAGGCATAGAAAAAATAACACCTAGTAATAATGGATTTATTACAACTTGATCCGTTTTGAAGATTCTAGATCTGTAGATCTTTAATCCATTGAATGCATCTGGGACATTATCAATTTTGTTCTTTTTTCAACGATTGGATTTTTCTGAAATTTCGATAAATTACTCACCTAATCCTAAGAAGATGTATACTAAAAATTGTTGTAACAATTTTATTATGGCTGCGGCTTTTCTGTCAGTTGGTATATATGTCAGTAATCTTAAACCCTCAAACATGCCGGATTTCCTGACCGAAGTCCACCGAGTCGAAATTTTACTTGTAATTTTTGTAGTACTGCACTGATGAACAATTTGCACTGCCTATGGGGAGACATGCAGAAGCTGCATCCAAGTATGGCGTGCCTGTCTACCTCTACATTTTAGACTTTAAAGCCTTGCCACATTTTATACCAGGTAAATGAATGAATGAATGATTTATTACCCCCACTTCTGCCTTTGAGTGGTCCTCAAGTGGAGATTTAACATCTGCATTTCACAGTAGACTCTAACAGCCCTCGTCACAGGTTTTCAGATTTTGCAAAATGTTCAGGATCTTATTTCATTAAAAATTCTGGAAATTTTGAATATTCTTCAAATCATCATTGAGTATTTGGAAATTCTTCAAATTTTGAATGTTTTGAAAATCTGAAAAAATTGCAAAAAATATGAACATTTTGAGAATTAAAGATTTTGGAAAATACAGGTTTAGAAATTTGACAATTTTGAAAATATTTCGAAAATTTTTGAAATTTTGAAAATATTGAATATTTTGAGAATGTTGAGAATTTTCAATTTTGAAAATGTCGGATCTTGAAATTTTTGAAAATATTGAAATTTTTGAATGGTTTGAAAATTCTGAAAACTGCAATGTTCCTGCAAAGTTGAGTTTTGAATTGTAGAGATCCGAGGAACTATAAGCGCGTCTGGTCCAGACATGATTAAAAGTAATCAAGTAATCGACACCCGAGCCACACAAAGACAATGTAGGAGTAGCACACACCTGGGTGTTCCTGTCGCCTGCCCTGGAGGAGCTCCTCTCTCTTCACAGCTTGTTCTTAAATTCATCACACTTGTTTTAGTGATTATATGAATTCTGTATCGAAATAATGGGTATAACTAAGATTTTTGATAGATTTTTTAAATGCTTTTCCTATCTTATCGAGTTGACTGCTTCGTCTTCTTGTGTGCATGTTTGGCTTGATGCGTAATACCCAAAAGGTTTGAATTTGTATAACTTTTGAATCCAAAGAACTTGCATGAGCAAGCAAATTTTGACAATGTATAAAATATTGAGTTTTTAAAATCTTGAAAATATTGAAGATTTTGAGTTTTACAAATTTTAAGCATTTTAAAAATTTTGAGAATCGTAAGTTATGAAAATTAACAAATTTAAAAAATCTGTAAAAAAGATTTCGAAAATTAAGAAAGTTTTAAAAATCATGTTGAGAATCAAAAACTATGAGAATTTCCTAGTCTCGAAAATTCTGCAAATTTTGAAAATCATGACAAAGCTAAACGAAAATTTTGAACATTTTGAAGATTGGAGATATTGGAGTTTGAAAATTTTGATAATCCTGAAAGTTTTGAGGAATTAGAAAATTTTTAAAATTTTGAGGGTTTTGAACACCTGTTATAAGTGTCTGTAAAAAGCCCTCAAGGGTCGACCACAAGTTGGGCTTCAGGTCTGTCTGAATGGAGTAAAATCTTTAATGACTTAGTTTTCACTTTGTTTTTTACAATTTCCTTATACTATCTATTATAGGCATTGAAGGAGTTGGTCATGGCGAAGACATGCTTTTATACTGGGACACAATTATAACTAAGGCAGCCAACGTATTATTTGCAGACTATAGGCTCGTATCGAAGAGAATGGTACGACTAATGAGCAATTTTGTCAAGTATAAGTAAGCTCACTTATTTCTGTTATCCATGTATAATCAAGAAGATATGAGAACTGCCCCCCCCCCCCCTCCTTTATTATTTATCCTAAAAATGTATAAAAGTACCTAAGAGGTGTATGAAAAACAAATGACCCGACTGCAGTAAATAATAATAAACAAGTCCCAATAGAGTCAAAATTCGTTAATCCGCTTGGGCTACAGCCGGCGAAAATAGAAATTTCTTGAAGCTGAACTTTTCGTTTAAAATCTGGCATTTTGGTTTTACAATAATTTAATATTCTATGTGTCAGTCGCACTATGAAGTCAAATCTAGTTAATTTCAAAATGGGAAGTGAAACTGAATTATTCTTACATATATGTACATACACACGCTCCAAAAACATAATCCTCCTTCTGAGTTAGAGTCGGGTAGAAATAGACCGCAATCAATAATTAATTTTGTTCAGGCTTCTTGAATACCTCCTAACATGGGGAATATGTCGAGCAATCCTATTTTTCTTCTAGAAAACCGGTTTTGAGACAGGAAGAAATTTTCCAAAACCTGGCTTGGCCAAAATTCCAGAGCGAAGGTCTGATGTATATGAAGATAGACACACATATGGAAGTTCTTTCTGATCCAAGAAACTACTCTACAAAGCGGAGAATTTGGGAAAAACATCTACAAAAACCAATATCTGTATATTAAGAGTTATCTAGTCAATAAGCGCTCTATTATAGGTATTTACGTTTACTCATTTCATCTTAGAAAATATTATATTAAATAATCATATTTCCCATATATTCTTATTTTCGTTAATTAACGGATTCCACTTCTATTCTTACACTTTCAAATGGCGCTTCAGTTGTGGCCGAAATACGAGTATCAGTAATATTATTCATTCAGAATTTGCAGTGCTTGATAAAAATGTTATAACTAACAGGTTCTACGGTATTTTCGTATAAAATATACTGTTTTTACAACTGTTATTACTAGTCTAAAATAAACTGTGCAATCTCCTCTTTGAACTATAGTTTTTGTTTTTGCCATATTTTAATATGCGGAAGCAAAAATCGATATTTGGGAAACATTTTTGCAGATCGTTCATTAACCGCGGCAGTATGACCAACCATCCATTTGGGAAAACAAACACCGGTAATTTAATCCTACTTACCTTTTTTAATTGGACACTTGTTTGAAATTAGGGATTAATCATTTCAGGTAATCGACTTATAGGACCATTTTTGTAAACGGACAGAGGTACCTAGGGCTTTTGCGAAAGCAGATTGTGCCTGAGCTTAGAAGAACCTGGTTTCAACAGGATGGATGTCCGGCTCACAACACCATTCAAGTCAAGAACTTCTTAGGAGTGTAGTTTGATGAAAGAATAATTTCATTAAATGGTTCAATGTCTTGGTCTCCTAGATCCCCTGACCTTTCACTCTTGGATTTCTACCTCTGGGGTCACACAAAGAATGAGGTCTATGAATTTAATCTTCACGCGACCATATAAAAAACAGACAAATAATTTTGAGCACAGTTGGAAACATTAGCAGAAATACACTAGCTAACGTTGTACGACAAACAGTCACCAATTGTCAAAAATATCTCGTTGCAAATGGACGTTATTTTGAAAAATCTGTATATTAATATAGTGTAGTCACCGTTCTTGGCGGATCAAAGTAAGACCACCAGTATCCCTCTATATATCTCCATCTCCGTCATACATACACATGCAACCTACCCCTGTGTGTGAATCTTTGTTGGCTAAGCTCAAAGACATTCGTTTTTTAATTGTATATCTCCGTCTCGAAAACTTTGTCGTTACGTATGAGTACCCTTCAATCATATTTGTCAGAGTGACAAGTTACTTGACATGGGCGTGCAATCTGAGTTGTCCTATTAACAATCTCCAATATAAAATTGCACAATCCACGGAAATACGATCAACGGAGAAGGCCGACAGCTCGTGCTATTTATATAAATAAGTATTTAAATTTATATAATAAATTTTTAGTGAAGTATTACCAGGAAAAGAATGGAAACAGCAGTCCCCTGTTACCCACTGCATGCGTACTAGAGAGACTAGCAGATGCGCTGAACATTAGTCTGCGCCCATGGTACGAAGACTCGATCTGTTTACTTATTTCATATGGCGTTGATGACGTAACCGCCAAGAACGGTGACTACAAATATACCCACTTACATAATTAGATTTTACATTACATTACAATTTTGTAAATTTACGACGATTTTTCTTACTTGTTTTTTTAACACACTCATAGATGGGAATTTGTCCCAAAACATTTGACTTGCTGAGAAATCGATATTAACGTTAATATTCTATTGAAAATTCAAGGCGTTTTTAAGTGTTTTTTATGCCTTACTCATTAATGTTATTTTCTGATAAATAAATCATTGCCTCCTTAGAAAAAAACTAATATTACGTGTGATGATATTTCGGTGATATTAGAATCTTTCATATACTTGTGAGATATCCCTATACCGGAAATTTTACACTCTTTTCAAAAATCAAAAAATCCAACATGGAGGCCTTAAGAAAAATGAAAGTTGAGGTGGGTTGCTGGAAATCAAAAGACGATTGAGACATGTCATACATGCTATCTTATTTTTCTTAAAAAATGTCCGGATAATGTCACATTTTGACAGCTGTCAAATTAACCGGATTTATTGGCAAAAAGTAAATTCCGCTATTTTCTGTTTTTCGTCGACATTTTCAAAATCAATTGGTCACTTGGTTTTGAATGTCGTAAATCTGAAGCTGACTATCGAAAGCACTAAGTTTCCTCTAAAACGTTCCCATTTAACCTTTGTTGGAAGTATAACATATAAGCGAATATGGTACACACTGTATATATGGTTTTTACTGTTTCCGTAACGCCAATCGGCCGCAAAAACCCAGGGTGCCATGGACAACAAATCCGTATTCGGTAAGCATCGGCGCGTCGGCGTCGTCGGAATATCTCGTCTCACTTCATTTGTTGAATTTCTTCCTCTCTACGAGCTACAGTTTATGTTATCGGTTGATACGGTTGATGCGCGTGTGACATCTTTTCCTGGTTTTGCCGGTTTTTTGGACTTTTATGGATCGTCCACATGGATTTACTGGAAGAAATGCATGAATGTGATGCTGATTGATCTGTATGCAGTTGTAGGTGTATGTAAATTTAGTGGCGAGTGAATTCAATGATGTATTGCATGATTTTGTTTGAATAACACCTAATGTTTTTTTGCTTGTTACAAACTGCACAGTACGTAAAAATTTAAAAGTTTGTACCACCGTAATTTTGTTTACCAGAATGGCGATTACAGTATTCTCAAAGACTGTGTTTCTATGCAGTTTTGATATTTGCGAAATACCTACTGGATTTCCTATACTTTGCCGATGGATTTCAAAGCCAAAACATCGTTGTGAGGATGTTTTGTATTTTCCGATATACAAAAATAAAACCGTTCAACACTATGATTTCTACTCATAGTTTACAATCAAACAAAGGTCTGCATTCTGAAGACGAACAAATTGTTAACAATATTGAAATTGAAACTAAAAGCTGTAAATTTCGATGTTATATGTCTGCGTCATTGTTAACTGCGTCGTTTTTTACTCATTAACTTGTCGTGAATGCTTCTACTTTCGAAAACTACCTACCATGCCAAAAAAAATCGGGGAATCAGTTAATCACCTAACATGCGCGGGTGCAAATAAAAGCTACATATATAGATCAATGGAAATAAATCATATAACCCCAAATGCACTAGCGGCGCGCTACCCGCGCGCTGCGTTTCGGAAGAGGATATTTTAAAAAACATTTAAACCTAGCACATTAATGCCAAAAAAGAGCATAGATTGTCGTACATGTATACGCTTTTTGTAGGACCTGTCTTCTTAGCAATGTAAATCACAAAACAACAAATTTGCCCCTAAGATACCAATTTAAATATTTCGTGGTAGCATTTTATTGTCAAAACAATATCATTTATCAAGCCAAGAAATTAGAAAAACTCCAAATTTCAAGCATGTTTTAACAGTTTTTATTTTTTAAATTTCCCCTTAGTAATAAAAGCTTTTCATTTTTTTGTTGGTCCGATCACCTTAGGTCGCTTAGTAAAAGATTCTTTTTGAGGGTTCAAAAATATTGAAATTTGTCCCATATTATCAACAATGGTACGCAAACAGCATTATAGTATATCAAGGGTTTCTAGTTTGTACGCATGGGAAATGTTTAAATAGGATATGCGAAAATAAAACAACGTTGCTAAAATACAACTATATAATCTATTAACTTTATTATATACATGTTTTTTACAGATAAATATTTCTAGTTAAATGTTATAATACACAACTTAGACATCAACTAATCTAATTCCATGAAAGTATACGTACGAGCTGCCGCCATTTTTTGTCGCTAAGAAGCTGAAAATAAGATAAATATCTAATAACAACAACGCAGTCATCTTACCATCTAGCAGAATATCTATGCCAAGCTTTTATGTTGAACTCACTCTTCAAATTTTTCAGACTGACACGTAGATAGGTAATGAGTCTACAATTATTTTATGTATGAAACAGCCAAATTACAAGAAAAGTGTGATTGAGTATGCCATGAGAAATTTGATTGGTTAGATTAGGAATATTAAAATAAAAAATACTGTATCCCAATAAGAGATTACAAAATTTCCCCACCAGCCTTTATTTTAGAAAACATCCCAAGAAAATGAATTAGTATCAACACTTTGATGGTTCTTGGTAGTACACTGAACGCTATTAAAATTTGTGTGAACATAAAGCCAAATAGCTTTTTGTCATTTCAAACCTAGACACAATCACAGTCTATTTTTTTATTGTTGAGTGAGCTCAATTGAAGTAAAGTTATGCTTTGTATTCCCTAACATGCCTTGAATATCATCATTAGACTACCAAAAACTTGATAAATGCAGTACTTATTGTAATTTTTTCTGTTTTTTCTGTATGGTTGGAAAAGTGAAGCACATACAGCCGCGTACAGACCCAGATCCTAACGGAAGCCAAGGCTCATGTGGTTACAAATTTGGAAGAGTTCGAATTGTTATGTACGGCGCGAGTCAACATAAACCAACGGGTATTTAGTCGTTTGTTTGCATTCGATGAGAGGAAAATCGCGCATTCGTTTGGTCGGCGTTGGATTTTTGACATTTTGTACGTTTTTAATGACATAACGTAGCGATCATAGCAAGCAGATCTGGAATGAACTATTCACACTAAAAACTACCTAGTCTGTAATATCTCATTTCGTCTTTTTATCTGACGTTCTTTAGGATTTTTACATAATAGCCAGTCTCAGATTATAAATCTTCTCTTTTTCCCTTTTCTGGTTTTTTTCAGTTGATCTCCAATCATACTAACGCCGCCTAGTAGTGACAAAATTGAACATCGTTGCCTTTGGAACAAAAAATTTTGATTGTGTTAATCAAACACAATTTGCTAGTTTGGTGATCTTTTATGTAATAAAAATTAGTGTACCTAGGGGATTATCATTGTATAAATGTTTTATGAAAGTACTTTTCTTCACTTTCCCACTATTTATTTTTCTAACGGGTCAAATTACAGAAAACGCCACAGAGTGTTCTAAAAATCAGAACTTTCCTTTACCGAGCGTATAGGCCAGGCGGTAATAAGCAAGTTGTCCTAGTAACACATATATCAAAGCCTTAAAAGAATCGAGATATTAATTTTCGAAAAACTCTAAATACACCATTCCGACCCCATCAAAGGGAATGATATACAGAGTGACAAAAAAAGGTAAACAGGTCAGGTTTTTCTGTTAAGTTTTTTTGTGGTGGCTGCGTGTAATGTTTCGTGATAAAGAAGCATTTAGTTTCCGTACATTTAGGGTGTCAATTGAATGTTAAATTTCGTGTAGGTTATTGAGAAGCCTTTTTGTGATTGCTCAAAATGCCTAGAATGCATAGAATTCGCCGGGTGACTTTGAGAGGGGTCGAATTGTCGGGTTGCGTGAAGCCGGTCTATCGATAAGAGAAATTTCTTGGATGACCAACAGATCCTTACGCAGTATACTGCAGTGTGAAAGAGCGTGGACTCAGGAAGCCCGAGAACAGCGAGCGCGGGGTTCTGCACGTCCCAGAGGGACCACAGTGGGACAAGACCGCCGGTTAAGAGGCAGATTCAGTAATACTCGAGCCATCGCTAATCAGTGGTTTGAAGAGCATGGCAGGATGGTTGGGATGCGTACGGTGTATCGCTGAATACGACAGTTTGGCCTTTTTTTATCGCCCCACATTGGGTGCTACCTCTCACAACTGAACATCGGCGTATTTGCTCTGGTGTAGAAAAAGAGTTCTATGGGACCGAGCATGGATTCAGGTGGTCTTTAGTGACGAATCCCGCGTCTGTCTGGGGATGCACGATGGTCAGGCAAGAGTGAGAATGAGACGGGGGGAAAGACGTGACCCACAATTTGACAGAGAGAGAGTCACGTTCCCACACCGTGGGAGTTATGGTATGGGGTGCTATTGCTTATGGTATATTTTGTGGTTCTAAAACTCTGTGAGTCTGAATCCCAAACAGGCGACACGCGGCGTGTAGGATAATCTAGTTCAGAGCATCGCCGTCGTCCTCGATATTTCCATCCGAGCTGCGTAGATTTGTTTGATGTCGTGCAAAGCCGTCTGGGTGAGCACAGTAGAAGACCTAGACAGCCCCAAATATTGCGAATTTGGGAAGCAGTAAACATAAACTCGTGTTTTTTAACCGAACAGCAACAGCTTCAATCAGTAATTAAATACAAAATATATGACAGGGCAGTTTTTGAAATGTCATACCAAATAAATACTAAGAATTTTTATTTTTTACATTTTCGGTGCAAATAGACTTTGTTACAAACGAATTTGTTTCTGAAAAGGAAAGTCCCAACCTTCAGGACGCCCTGTATATTTCATTAACTAAAAGCAAACCTTATAAAGCATAACTTGACTGTTTCTCGAAGCCTTGTCGACTGCCAAACAAAAGGAGCAGCCCGCATAACAGCCTCTAAACATTAAATGATCAAATTGACAACTGATATGGCATGTTTTCTACGTACCTAATTGACAAGTACGCGCTATGGCCAACATTTTGGCGCACGACGATAATTGCTACAACACAATCATATAATAGAACCATTCCGGCTTTGATTTTTCTCATTTTGTATACACATTGAAACTTTGACCAACAGAATAGCGAATACTTCCAAACTCTATTTTGCGATAACCATCCTCTCATACCGAAAACGCTGGCACTGCTGGTGCCTTTGGACTGAAGCAGTCGGATCTCGCGTGTCCCACCGTACGCAAAGGGATGCGGCTCATGCAATAGCGTGCGATATGTTCCGCTGTGTCTTCCTTTTCGGTACCTCAGTATAATATATCCGTATAGCAACCCTCAGGACCCAGTATATGTGGAAAAAATTGATAAAAACAAGGTATCGGAAATGAATTAAAATTTACTATTTTGAAGTTACCAGTTTAAACAACAAGATGGACATGGGATCAGAACGTTGCTTACCCTAGCTTCACCATGGCACTATCAAACTTGGTTTTTGGTGCATCATTAATTTGATACTACTTTTTGACCTCAAACTTGGAGAGTTTCTGTATCATCCGTTGTATTGTGTATTGAAAATATTTGAGCATCTGGATATGGATCATAATAAAAAGATTACAAACCTTCAATTAACGTAATAGAAAAATATGACAGTTCACTCATTTATATTATTATTGTTAATAATGTACAAAGGGTATTATAAAAGTTTTGCAATATGAGTTAACAAACGAACGCAGGAGTCTACATGTTTCTGCATGTTGAGAAAGACGAAATGACGCTTGCATTAAAGAATGATGGTCCTCATCGTTCGAGTATATTCAGGTGGTACAGAGAATTCCAAAGGATCAATTTCACTCTGGAGGACGCTGAGACGGAATTCCGCGAACTTCAGCACAGAGGAAAATATTACTGCTGTGAGGAAAATGTTTGACGAAGACCGGAGAGTGACATGACAACAGATAGAGGAGACCTTACACCTTCATGCATCAGCAATTCATTCAATTCTGCATGACCATTTACACATAAGGAAACTTTGTTCTCTCTGGGTACCGCATAGTCTGACGGAAGAGCAGAAGACTCGTCGTATGAGTTGGTGCCGAAAAATGCTGAAAATGTTTGATAAGGGGCAATCTCGGTATGTGAACAGTATCGTGACAGGTGACGAAACTTGGCTCTGTTATTACGATGTGCCGACCAAGGCACAAAGCAAAGTTTGGGTCTTTGATGATGAGGATACACGCGTAGCTGTCAGAAAATTCCGATCTGTTAAGCAAAATAATGATAGCTGTATTTTTCAAATCGAGCGAGATTGTGGAGCGTGTCGTTTTGGACACACAGAAGACAGTCACAGCTAAGTGGTACACGGAACAGTGCCTGCCCAAAGTCATAGAGTCTATGAAAAACATGCGGCCAAAGTCAAGAATGGACACTTGGTACCTCCACCATGATAACGCTCCAGCTCATCGCGCTAAAGCCTGCACCGAGTATTTGACCACTACTCGACTGAAACTTATTGAGGTCCCTCCTAACAGTCCAGATCTTGCTCCCTGCAACTTTGCACTGTTTCTGCATGTAAAAATGAAGCTCAAAGGAAAACGGTTTTCTAGCGATAAGGACCTTCTGAGGGCTTGGGACAACGAGTGTAGCGCACTCCCGGGTGAAACTTGTCAGAGGACTGGTTTTGGCGGATAGAGTGTATTTAATGTGGTGGAAATTGCTTTGAACGAATGTATAAATAAAGTTGTATTCCAAAACTTTTATAGTACCTTTGTATTATTCAAAGAGGTTTTTAATAAGGTTCCACCCTTTGCCCCAATTGGTATAAATTATGTTTGTGAATCCAGACAAAATCTACTGTCAGTTTTTCCTAACATTTGCAAACTATTTAGCTTTCTTTAATTTATCCGTTGAGTGGCCTTAAGATACCCCTAAGATGCCTTCCTGAAAATAAACTAGTCTCTGTTTTTGACTTAAAACCCACTAAACTTATGTAACATGCGTCTGGATCGGCTTCATTTGAATTAAAATCCCTGAAGTGGTCTTGAAACAACCTTCAGATGCGCTCATAGTAACTACCTTGACCTCTATTAGGATTTATCAACCACAAAAACCAAAATAGCATGCGGTGGAGCTCAGCTGTTCGGATTCTTTTGAAAATGTCCTTTATATGACCTTAAATTGACCTTTAAATCATAGCGACAAACTAATCACAAATTTGTAATCAGCGACCTAACAGTAAACCCAGTTTAATGAAAATCGTATAAATGACGTATTTTTTGTCAGGTTTACGGTGTTTTGGACCACTTTGCGGCAGCACATTTTCTCTCACGGACAATTACTCAGCCATGTGCCGAGATCCCAAGATTAATCTTGTTGTACAGCATTCGTCTACTGGAAACATGTTTTTCAAGATATTTTGATTTTTCCGTCATTTTTGGAGAGCCTGTGACTAAACTACAATAACCCAAAGGAAACGTTCCAGTTTCTAAGGAATAATACAGAAAAATGCACTTTTATTTATAGAGAGTTGATCTGATTCATAATTTCAATGCCTTTTGAGTCATTTTTCAAAATTTCGCTCATACAAAAATTATTTCCAGCGAGTCCAAGAGCAGATCAAACACTTCAGTCGAGAAAACTATTCTTCGCTACTCTGTTGATACACAATTTGTTTCAATCAATGTGTGTCCAATGTTTCGCGTCATGATTCACCACGAAAAAAATTTCGATCAAAAAAACACAAAGATCTCGTACCAAAGAAATTGCTTTCAACAATTATTTACAAATGTTTTGATTGTATCAGGTCTATGCGAATAATAGTATACAGTGCTAACCAAAGTCGTCTGACCTTTTAGATTTCCCGGAGTATGAGAGAGAAGCGTGTTAGAAAGAGTGCACCATATAAGCGTCTTCACCACATTGCCTGGCAACGACACTGGGGGAGGAGTTACAGCCGCTTCTCTCTCCTAAAAGTTAAAACGACTTTGGCCCGCACTCTATAATCATTTATATGTATTCGTAAGAAATTGTAAAACATCTAATTAATCGAAACTGAAGAAACATTGGGGAAATTCAGATCACAGATGGAAACATCAAGAAAAACATGCTGTATAGAAAATTCTGGGAGTTCCTATTTACTTGCATCTTGCAGAATTTTATATAAGACAAGTTCTTGTAGGTACTGCTTTTAATTTCATGGTGAACCTTTACAAGCCTACGTTTTCCGAGACATTCAAAAAATATAATGACGTAGAAAATCATCACATATCTGAAGCATACGTTTTGCATATATTGAGACACAACTTAACTGAGGCATAATAATTCATCTGATTAACAAATATCAAGGTAATGATTTTCATACGTCAGAGTACTTGACAGTCAATCGTTGTAAGCCGAAACAAATATTACCAATCCTAACAACATATTTATTCACATTTAGTAACCTTCTGAAATATATAATATAAATATTTGTATACTGAAGATATATCTCCAACAAGTTGATGCCAACAAAGCAGATTTTTTTCTGCGGAATTTCTCACTAATCTTAATATAAATGTGTACTTTTTAATCAGTGTAGTTTTAAACATAAATACGAACATTAAAAAATACAGTATCAACCTAAGATTTTTGATGCTTTGTATATAAGTAACTACAAACTTTCACTCTGGTGCAAAGTAAACCCGAGTTCGGTCGATTTGAAAACAATATTTTTTTAGTTTTCAGCTTTTTGTCAGTCAGGGTAGGCAATTGTTAGAATTACTCTGAAGGTGGTTTTTTAAAAGACACACGAAGAAACAGTCAGTGTGGATAATTTTAAGTACCTTTTTTTAATAAAACATATCCTTAACAGTTTCAGCAGATGTAGACGATATTCAAGGAAGAGCACATTTTAGGCTGAACCTATCTGGTTTGTAAAAGAGGTTGTGAAAATGACAATCTGTCAAATCAGCTCTATGTAAAGTATTTTTTTTTATCAACCAAAACTTATGTGTGTTTAGTTTGTACCCGAGTGTCAAAATTGTTCAAAAACAGTTCAGTGGAAAATATAAAATGACTAGTGTTAAACTAACAACTTAATATATAAATATAGAAATTAGGATTATAGGATGTATACACACAGTATAATATTTGGTGAGCTAAATATTGTACTTGAACTAGAATGCAATGCATATTGATGAAAACACAACAGCAAATAATGGTGATTAAGCTTGTGACTTCCTTTTATTGATAATCTTGAAGAGGGAACAAAAATTTCACAAACCTTTTGATTGATATATACGCGATTTGGGTAAGAATAACAATGTATCAGAAGTTATAGATATTTTTATATTTGTTCTTTGTAGCCATTTTTCCTGATGGCAAATTAAAACAACCAATAACGATATAATTCTTTATTGAAATTTCAGCTGCTGAAGAAAAAGACTATACCAATAAGATTACAAAACATTTTGATACTGATATAATTACAAAATATTTTTACATATTTAACTATAAACTCATCATCATGTTCAAAATAAAACTAATACTATGTACAGATTAATTCATTAAAACTTTCAAAAAGGAACATTCATTAGGGAGTGAAGTATTATAGCAGATGATACTGCGTCAATCCTCACATATCTTAATAGCTGGAATCTATGCATTACATTCTGTTACAAGCTATAACAGTTTGACTGTTTAACCTTACATTTGGTTGTCAAGAAAAAAAGTTACATGTGATTACTCAGACCCGACATTTTCATGAATAGATCTACTTGTCACTTGTCCAAAGTAAATTAATTTATAGGCATAAGTCCAATAAAAATTTTTTAACTTTGGATCAAATACACACCACATAATGCCAGCAAACTTTCAAAATTGCTACTGCTATCATATAACAACACTATATTCATAGCTTGACCACCAAATGCTAGACAGTCTATTTTTTTTAACTTAGCCTCTGCACTAAAATGTTTTAAGCGTAGTAAATTTCATAACGTTACATTGATATAAAACTATAAGTGTTCAACAATCTCTTATAAGACAGCCGTATAAGTCTACTTTGCATATGTTTGACTTGAGTAGCAAAGACTGATTGGTTCTTTTGTACAAGTTTCTACCTCAAGCAGCTATATTTCTATCAATATCGTATTTTATTTTCACATTTTCACAAGCGAATTGGTCTCTTTAGTAAAGAATATAGGCCAGCCTATGGTTAGTCGAAATTTAAATAGATGTTTTTAGTCTCTACAAGTGAAATGGTAAAAACGCCCATCCTTAGATCCTTACTAACTTTGCCTGGTAATTAGGCCACCAGACCTGACAGACAAACCGACGTACAAAACTACGAGCAAAGGTCTTAAGCACTGCTCTGGTAGATAATGATGTATAGAATATCATAACTAAGTCGTATATATTAAAGGCAGATAGAAATCTAGGAGGTCAATTCGAGAAAGCAAGACTAAAAACTAGCAGAAAGTGGAAGTGACTATTAGTTTTCGAAATACTGAACGTTTGCTTAACCTCAATTATTGAGCGCAGTAGAACTTCTGAGATTTGCCAAACAAGATTGTGTATGAATCCATTATAGGCAAAACTGTATGTTCCTGGGTTTTCACATCATCAAACGTTTCGTCACAAAGTTAATTTGGTCTTTGGAAATGAGAAGGATGCAAGACGGCGAGACCTCCTCGCTTTTTCTCCTGAGAATGATTCGGTGAGCGACTTTTCTATAAGTGTTTAGATACCTTCCTCCAAAAGGTAAGAGAACCAGCGCTAAGTTATCACTTCAATCAATAGCACGAAAAACATAACGTTGTCATCAGCCAGACTCATCTCTAAAGACGAAGTTAGCTTAAGGGCGGAAACGCAGTGAAAGCCGGAGGCAGGCTCAGGCTTGTTGGCGTAGACAGTCGGCGTCACCGGTATTGCCGGAACGATTATTTAGCGCCATGCAATAAATTCATCTTCGGGTGAGCTAGACCCCATGCTGACGCAAAGACTACGCTGGAACTGACAAGGGGGCCGGTTTTATTTTGCATTTTCCTCGTCAGCACTGTGTCCATGACCAGCGCCGAAATTCGCTACCGATCGGCGCTGGTAAGCAGCAAACCAGCTTCCACTGTGTTTACTGCTAACAAAACATGAACTCCTAAAAGGACTTTTTTAATGTCTGGTTTGTCCTAAAACTTAACTTCAACCAAGAGACAATCTACCATTTAACTAGAAAGTTATAGTTCCACCGCAATACTTAATGCCTAATACCTGTTTTAGAGTCAACAAGAGGCAAGAGAAATGTTGATCAGACGCATGCGCACTAATAAAACACCTGATTCTTCCTTTTTTGCACCTCTCCGGACTTGCATGAAAATAAATCAGCTGAATTTTTGACTGCAATTCTGGTGGAATATTTAGTGACTTACAAGTGGATGCAACTGCCTCTAGCCCGGTTTGTGTGGTATTTCATTGTTTATAGATCTACATTTGATGTTGTATGACCGGCGATTGAAACTAGTTTCTAGATATTTGTGTCCTTAAAGATAAAGGCTTGTCTAAACTTGCGCTATTGAATCGTGGAAACAGAGCCGTGATGCAATTGCAAGTGACTGGATGCAATTGGCTTGCAGATAAAACAATGCCACCTTGCAACTGTAACAGCTTGCATGCAATGGTATTGCGGAGTGTAAAACAGTTTTAAGCTTTGTGCTTCACAGTGATACTGGTTATTGCGGATGACACGAGACACAAATTGAGCGTCACAAAATGCACAAAACACGATAGTTCAGGCGTAGAGCCAGCGTTGCTGTATGTAGTATGGAACGAATGTATGGAAAATCAATAGTTAAGTTACAAGATAAAGTTACCAAACTTGAAAGATAAGCGACTGAAAATCCGGGGCTTATTAATATAAAAAAACCTAGGAACATTATTTTGACGAGAATGGATGTACTCACAAGCTTGTTCCATGAACGCGAAAAATCATCAAAATCTGCTATAAAAGGTAAAACACTTTCCACTAGTCATGCAATGCGTTCTCAAAAAAAGCCTCCAAGCTGAGCGAAAAATGTTGATATTCCGTCTCAGATGGTACTATAAAGGGGGCACTCAACCGCTGACGAAAAAGCTCAAGCTAAAAATCACTAATATTGAGAATTCAACACCGTGACTATTCACTTTCGGATTTGCTTGACTCAACTTGACTGGTCTCAAAGCTGCCGTTTCCCAATCCATTGCGGACGAGTATACCTCTCTACTATGGAGCTCTACTTGGTCCAGATCTGAATCAGATTTTCAACTAACGCATGTAGACTGACCTAAGAAATCGAGTACATATCAGGAGATTCAAGTACTAAATTATACAGGTCTCTGCGACAAAAGTCACACATAACGGCTGAAGCTATATAGGTGTATGTTCGTTTGTGCTTCATCATTTTTTCTAATAGGTGTGAAGCGATCTACTCTGACATCCATTTTACACCTGAACATAGTGTTCGGCGGCCGATATACATTTTTTTGTTTGTTTTGATATGAACCACGGTGAGCTTACCACCGCTTCTTTAGTTGTTGATGAAAGCCCAACATTCCAAAGTCTTCACTACGAAATCCACCTTGGGCGTTAGCGGATCGTTGCCGTACGTCTTGCACGATTCGGATCGGCCTAATAAAAAACAAAATCAGATTTCAGAACGAAAAAATATATGATAAAGTCAAAATTAAAGACTACCTTGTGTACCAAGGATCGGTACTTTTTCATACTGGTAACACTCGATACTTTCAGTACATGTACCGGTACTCGATACTTCTGTCTAGTGTCTACAGTCGAAAATACAAGTCACGATCTTGCCTTGCCGCCAATTGTAAAATGAGAATCCCTTATACAAATAGCTACGTTTTCATTTTGTAGTAGTAGTAGAAGGATTCATTTAGACCGTTTGGATAAACAAACAGAATAATTATAAACAACTTAGAATTAATATATTCAAGCTATAATTATTATAGATTTAACAAGTTATTCCTCAATTTTACTTATAATTTTCTTTTCATCTATAGCCGTACAATACAGAGTGATCCAAAAATAAGATATTGCATTACGCTTTCGATTTTTAAATGGAAACCCCCATTTTTTTAATTATTAGATTTTCGATGAAGTTTTTAGTAACTTTTGTATAATAAAGTTTATACCTATCTCAATCGTTTATGAAGCTATTTGACTTTATACTAAAATTCGACTAACTTAACGTAATACTGATGATAATGGAATGCCCGGCAAAAAAATAATACTCCTGGATACTAGCAAGAGCATTTAGCACCAGTCATAGAAAAAATGTTAAGTTACTTACCTAGTTGTGATAAATATTGAACAATCACTTATTCAATTCAAGAAAGGGTAGAAATAAAACTGTATTACCAAAAAATGGGAGCATTGCAAGAGCTACTGCCCGGTTGTTTAATGTGTTACATCCAGACAAAAATATTAACGATAAGTATGTGGCTAAGTTGTTAAAAAATTTGAAGAAACTGGATCTGTGTCTAATGTTCGCCGTAATCGCCATCGAGAAAATCGACCAGTTAGAAATGAAGCCGCAAAAATAGCAGTTTTGGGGCACATAGCACTTGACAACACCCAAAGCACTCGTGGACTGGCTACTTCTTTAACATTTACATGCTCAACAGTACATAGAATTTTGAAAAACAACAAATTTCATCCGTACAAGATGAAACTTGTCGATAAGCTTAATGATGACGATTCTGATACAAGGTTGGAGTTTTGCGAATAGTGCCCCAATGTTTAATCAATAATGCAAATCTGTTATTTAATATTTGTTTCTCAGATGAGTGTACGATCTATTTACATGTGTGGACCCGTATTTCTGGAAATCACATTGTAGGATCTTTCTTTATTCCTGTAAAGTTCATGTTAGAAAATAGGAGCCACGAATTACCAAAATAAAAAATGACTTTAATTATAATGAAAATTACATTAATTTCCCACAAGATGGTGCACCGCCGCACTATGTGGCTTCAGTACGACAGTTTTTTGACACCCATTTCCCAAATCAGTGGATCAGCTGACGAGGCCCCATCGAGTCCTTTAGATTACTTTCTTTGGGGGAATTTGAAAAGTAAAGTTTTTAGTACGAAGACAGATTCTATCCAAGATCTTGGCCAGCGGATTACGGCTGAATGTAGACAAATAACTCAAGAGATGTTTGAAAATGTGAAGACTAGATTCGAACAAAGTCTTTATTATTGCATGGAGGTAAACGGACACCACTTTCAGCACTTGTTACCAAATTGACCTACCGCTTTATAACAATCTAATTTTTACTTTAACTTTAATGTGCGTGAAAACTATAAGTTGGTTTTTTGTTTTTTTAATACTCGGAGACATGTTTTAGTTCTAAAGTAAAGTCTTCTTACTACTACTGATTATTAATTTTACTATTATCACAATTTCTAGAATTTTATTATAAACTTTTGTTTTACAAAAGTTACTAAAAACTTCATGGAGAATCTAAAAATTAAAAAAGGGGGTTTTCATTTAAAAATCTAAAGTGTAACGCAATATCTTATTTTTGGATCACCCTGTATTGTACGGCTACAGATGAAAAGTCGTCCCCCTAGAAATCAAAATTGACGTATCCGAGCGTTTTTATTATATTCAATCAACCCTTAATGGAATATGATCTGTAAGATATATTATACCTTTTGGAGAGTAAATGTAAGTTATCTTTATTTCTAGTACGAGTATGTAAATGATGGTCCGCATTTGATGATATTAATTTAGTTAGACATGGTCGAAATTTATCATATTTTACCTTATATTTTTCACATTGCGCCATTCTAATTTGCTGAGCATTTGTCTAATTGGAGAATATTTATCTTTATGCAGTATTATACTCATTCACTTGTTTTGTAAAATTTGCAGTCTCTCAAAAATGAGACTATTAGGTAAATATAGAATAGTCAGTACAAGAAATTTGGAAGAATGGTAATTTTATAGATAATTTTTCTGCTATATAAACTCAGGCATCCAGAAACTCTTCATAAATATCCCACTTTACTACTCGTCGTGTTTATAATTTTCTCATAGTTAATGTGAAAATTTAATTGAGAGTCAAAAAAAAGCCAAGGTATTCAAAATTTTGTACAAATTCAATATCTTGATCATCAATATTCAGTTGAACATTTGTACATTAGTTTTTTACAATTAACATAGCTTTCGGTTTACTGGTATTTAATTTGAGTTTATTAGATGCTAACTATTTTGAAATATGTTTGATATTCTATATATCGTCGATATTATGATGAAACCTCGTTACAATTTCTTTACAATCTGTATAGTCAAATATGAGCTCCGGTATCTGATAAGCAAGAGTTTCGTAATAAGAAACTCTAGAAAATACTGTAGAGATTTACTAAAAAATGGTGTGAATCGAAGCGAAACCATATTTTTCTTTAATTTTAAAAGAGTTTTTATGTCATTCTGTAAAAACTGCTTCTAAATACTAAGGAGTTTTTGAAAAAAACAACGACGATATGCGGTTCTCACAATATGACTCAATTTAGTGGTTGTACATGAACAATGTATATTGGCTATAAATTGGTGGTCATTCCAGAAGACCAGTAGGCCGCAAATGATTAACGAATTGTTAAAAAGTTGATCGAATACAAACCTAAATAAAGATCTCCATCCAACCATAATCCAAATTTGCCATCACCTGCTCCAATGCTAAGGCTTTCATTGTTTCCTTTGATAAAATAGAGATTTTCACCCGTCCAATTATATACTTTGAACTCGGGCGTGAATGTGAAAAGTAAGGATTCTCCTGTACCGTAGAAATGCTCCGATACTTGCAAGGAACATGACGTTAGAGCACCAAAAACCTGAAAAAAATGATGCTGTTGAACTACTTACAATTTTGCAAAATATTAAAGGGTAACATTGTACATTTCTTCACCTTTTCGTATAGATGCGTCGAGCTTATTACACTCAGGTAAAAAAGCATGGCAGGCTTTCGTGAATATTTTTTTTTTTTAGTGAGAAGTGAAAAATGGACCAGCAAGGGTCGTGAACAGTTCACACGATCACGATTCAGTTTATGCTTTTAGACCGATCAGGAAGGAGTTGCTGATTGATAGTTGAGCTATATCGAGTTCAGATTTTATTGGTATTCTAGCGAAAATGTTGAGAGTGACGTCGACAGATAAAAAAATAAAACAGAAAAATTGCTAGAAACGTCTGAAGTTCAGTTTTATTTCCTCGTGGATTGCGTTTCGCCACAAATTTCAATGGTAGATTACGGTCTGTCCCACTCTCAACTGGAGCGTTTATGCGTGAAAAGAATAATCAAACGTGTCTGATACCGAGTCTGAGGGGTTGTCGACTTGCCTGTCTCCTGATGACGTTATACGCAAACTCAGGACACCTAAGAGCTCTCCATTACCGCGATGCTGTGACGTCGTGACCAATCGTAACCAAACGTAAGATTGAAATATATGATAGCTACCTGACGAGGTGAGTAGTGACGACGGCCGCCCAAATCGATATTTCAATAAATATCTAGAGAACTAGACCTTGATTATGATTGCCAATAAGCATGAAACAGCGATGTACACTGTTACCCTCTGCTAGACAGCCAGTAACATTAAGCTTCAAAATATACGCATTGTCCGGCAACATTCCCATTCTCGTCTCCCGTTGTTTCAAAGAGATTAAAGCTGGACCTTGTTTGATACGTAAAACGAACTTACATTATTGTCAGTGTCCTCAATAACGAGCAATATGGGCGACTCGAGCTTCTGCATTTTCCTGTACATGCTATTCAAGCTGAAACCGTGCTGACTGGTGCTAAAGACGAGCGTCCACGCATAGCCTTCCGCTCTAGCCGGTAGATGACGGCACAGGCACTCTCGGTGGTGGTCGGTCAGTATTTCGGTGATGCCGATCAAATCAGGCGGTTGCAGCTCGATGTCCAGCGACGGCGCCCCGGATGTCGAGTAGAACGCGCGCCGGAACTCCTCGGACATCGGCAGCACCTACACAATAAAAAAGTTAGTTGGGACCTCCTTCAAGACTATTCCTCACTACATTGTACCATCTAATCCGCAAATAATCAAAGAGTAGTTATACCAACAGAAAACAAATCTGGTGAATAAATTAGAGAGAGAGATGGAGAGGTCAAACCAAAAACATGGCGTCCACAAAATAATTGATGACGTCTCACGTGTTGTTATTTGGCCAGATTTTTTGATGAAGTCATTGTTCATCACTTGAAGCACCAAGGGTGGTTCGCTTATAGATCGCTGTCCGTTAGATCTCAAAGACATTCCATGCCTTGTCCTCTAGGCATAACTACTCTTTACTGTAATTGTATTGACACTGGTAGAAATCGCTGCTTATTGATACTCTACAACAGCCACTTGTAGTGCTATTATCACATTTTGATAAGGAGGAAGATGAAGCTGACAGAGCGGCAGAAGTAAGTAAGGTTATGTAAGATGCCTAGATAAAATTGTCATTCTAGCGAAATTTGAAATACTCTGAAGTATCTAAAACTAATATAGATCCTTTGGTATTACATGTCGCTCTTTCCAATATTGTAACATTTTCAATGGGCCCTGTAGAAAAAATACCGTTTGTACTCTTCAAATAAGATAAATATTTACTCATTTTCAAATTCAGCGCCATTTCCCAAGTGAAAATTCCAAGATGGCGACTGGACTAGAGGGGGGTCATGTGATGCCTTGTGAATACTTCATAATCCTACGATATAAAATCATTATTTTTCAAAATGGCGAGTCAAATTTGAGCGTTTTTGTACATTGAATATGCACTGAAATATAAGACATTCAGTTAAAAACAATCGACAGGTTTTCATTTTTTTTATGGAATGATCCATGTTTTATTACATATTCGGATAGACCCGCCCAAAATAACAAAATTGATATAACGTTTTTATGATTATCTGTTGAGCTACAGGCGATTCAATTTACAACAACGCTCAAATATGACATCCTGTCATTCCACAATTTCGAAATTTAGTGGTTTTGTATTCTAAGATTATAAAGCATTCACAAACAACATCAAAATAAGGTATCAGATGAACAAATAAGTCTATATTTCAAAATTTCCTGCCACTTTTAGCCTAAAACATAGTATCCATGCATCAATATCACTACTCCGAATTTCAGCTTTCTAACTAGACCCGTACAAAAAATAAGTAGCACTGAATATGAGATTTGATGGATTGCCCAGCAAAAATAAAAATTTAAAAAGCGAACACGAAATTTCCTTATTTGCTTATCAGGTAAGGCTCAACAAATTCGCTGTGGTGTTCACGACGAAGTTGAAGTTAAGGAAACGTTTCAATAACAGAAAATAATGACGCACGGCAACATCTACTTTTATCTAGGAAGTTTACGTATCATCACTCACTTTTGTCAGTCTGTCACTGTCAGTTCGATTTTCTTCCATATTTAAGTGTACTACCGCACTCCAAGTGGTTATTCGCCAATGCAAAAATTCAGCATACGAGTATTTAATAACTTACATTTCCATTCAAGGGACCTACCACTGAACCAAAGGAACGATGATATATATAAAAAGTTATTTCTAAAAATTATGGAAAATACTCTAAGGCATAGAATTATGGGCATTTCAAGGTTGAATTTTAGTTTCGATATCAACGTTTCTTTGTTCATAGTAACATTAATTTACATAGATTGTGCCGAAGATGCTACTATAGCAAATGGAGAATGAAATTTTCATCGAAATCCAATTCAGTCGTGATTCAATACAAAGAAGCTGAAAATGAAAATATCTAAAATTCTTATGAATATAATAACAATAGTCTTTATTAGGGCCTAGATTAGCATAGTACTATTCTGCCTTTTTAACCCCAAAAAATGTACTTTTTTATTTTACTATTGTACATCTTCAAATAATTACTAAAACAGTTTTTCACATCTCCATTTACCACAACATTTTGGTGCGAAACAGATTCCATCTATGTTTAGACCTACGCGTTCAAATTAGCTCTACACATATTGTCCTATAGACAGTGTGCTTATAATATATTTCAGCATTACATCACATACCTTTTAAGAATATATTGGAGGCAGACCGAAATATCTTCAGTAAAAAAAAAAACAAGTTGCACAATGTTGAGATGACGTTGAGATAGACGGACACTTTGTATAGTTAGACCCAAATTATCATCGAAAAATTTATAAAACTTCGAGAAAACATTTGTTTAAAACTCAAAATTAATTACTCCTTTGGAACTAAACTATCGAGTAGTCAAACCGTTCTCGTGTTACTTAAAGTATCATCGTTGTAAACAGAATCGATGTTAAACTTCTCTAGCATGACGGGAATGATGTTTTTATTTGGATGGCACATTTGTCGCGGTGATTATAATGTCTCGCAAATAACAAATTAACTGCTTAATTGTAGATGCCGTACATACAGTGTGTAGTGTACATGAACGTCAACGGTTTTAATGGGTTGATTAATGGATTTGCTAGCGGCTGATTCAAGTAAATGCAACATTCAATTTGGTTATTTCATTCAGCAATTAAAAATATATAGCGTATCAATGAAAAAGGAACGGTCTGACAATAATTTTTCAAGGGAGGTGTTTCATGTAAATTTGAATACTTTATTCAAAAATGACGTCAAGTTGGCTGGCTTTGCCACGCGATGCCCTCATCAGTTCATAAAGGATTATGCTCAGCACACGTTAGACTTTATCCTGGATAGAGGATAGTTGCTATGCTTTTGTTCGTTGTCCGAGAGATCAAGCTTAGACCGTGACGATAAGTTGCCAAAAAAACACGAAACAGCTGCCTGTGGTTATACTGGGTGCATTATCTATTACTTTTTTTACCTATAAGTTTATGTGTTACCATGTGAGCCAAAAGTCATGTGGTATGCATAAATGAACTATCAAAGGTATGCCATTTATAGTCATGGTTTCGTTTACAACACAACAACGCATTTTGGTTATCCAAACTTATTACGAAAACGGTCGAAATATAAAAAGTACTTTTCGCAAACTTCGTACTAGTTTTGGCCCACTTGGACGCCCTACAGAGCCTGGAATTCGTTGGATTGTTAATCTTTTGAGGAAACTGGTTCAGCTGAAGGTCGTATACCATACCAGCATGCTCGTCCAGCTCGTACTCGTGAAAACATAGCCGCAGTGACTGAAAGTGTGCGAGAAGATCCAACCACCTCGACTGGGCGCCGTTCGCAACAATTGGGAATTAGTGAGACCACTTTACGCCGGATTTTACACATTGATTTACACCTCCATCCATACAAAATCTAACTAACACAAGAATTGAAGCCGGCAGACCATCAACAGCGGCGTGTTTTTGTTAATTGGATGCTGGAAAGAGAAGACGGATTTTCGGTCAAAGTGCTCTTTTCTGATGAGGCTCATTTTGACCTCAATGGGTACGTAAATAAGCAAAATTGCAGATTCTGGGGGGCTGAAAATCTACACCAATATCATGAATGGGCTGGTGGCATCGGTGGACCATTCTTCTTTGAAGATGCCGAAGAAAAGGCCATTACCGTCAACGGGGAACATTATCGCGGCCTGCTAACAGACTTTTTGTGGCCCCAACTGGATCGTATTGGTGCCGACGATCTTTGGTTTCATCAAGACGGAGCAACGGCTCACACATCTCGCCAAACAATCGCCTTATTGCACACGAAATTTCAAGACCGCATAATTTCACGAAATTCAGATGTCAGTTGGCCCCCGAGATCGTGCGATTTAACACCTCTTGACTTGTCTTTGGGGATTTTTGAAAGGAAAAGTGTATGCTAATGGTCCCCGGACAATTCAAGACCTAAAGTAGAATATTCGGACTGAAATTGCGGCCATAGACTCGATTATTCTGGGAAAAGTCATTGAAAATTTTGATGTTCGGATGTTGGCCTGTAAACGAAGCCGCGGTGGTCACATGACTGATGCTATTTTTTATACATAAATGGCATAAACCAACCTTCATTTAGCAATAAAAAAACTCGATTTCACCTCGTAAAAAGCGTGTTGATTTTTCAAATAGAAAAAAAAGTAATAGATGACGCACCCACTAGCATCAAAAAATTGCGACACACCCTCCTCCACCCCTCTAAAACCTCCACCCCCAAATTTTTACCCCTAAAAAATGTCCAACAAATGATCGGGATCATCTGAAACGTGAAAGAACAAAGTTTGAGCGATTTTTATTTTTTCGTTCTTAGCCTTTTTCTCCACCGCCACTGGACCGATTTTCCAAAACTACACCGGTACTTCTCAAGTTACAGACGGGCCAAGGGTTTTTCGTGGTATAACGTACATATGTCTTAAAAGTTTGGGCACAAAATTCATTGGCTTTAATTTGAACAAACACAACGTAATATCAAGTTGCCTTTGGCAACAAAAGTTTGTTTACTTACTTTACTGTCAGTTGATATTTATTTATTCTGAAGTTTTCGCTTTAAGACGTCGTATAAATTAGAAGTAAGAAAAAGTATCTACGAGTTGGTTGGGCGGGTACCACCCAAAAGCTGAAATCTGTCGAATATTCCAGAATGAAAACATTTCACGCAACTATTTATCGAACAACAGCGAAAACCGAAACTCCCAAAAAGTGGAAGTCCACGTGCATTTACTGCACATAGAGATTGATGAGAAGAGCAAAAAATCAGGTTGAAATGGAGACTGGCTCGTCAATACAGATCTTCTAAGAGACTTAAGTGCCCCAAATATTCTCAAGCGTATCTCCTTCGTATATCAAGATGCTGTGGTCAACTGAGGCGAGTACACTTTGTCAATGGAAAAATCATTATTTTAGATAACGAAAAGTATTTCACTTTGACTACCACTGAAATGAAGGGAAACGACGGATTTCATACGGACAACGTAGAGGAACGCCCTGACAATGTTAGATACATACACAAAACAAAATGTGCAGATAAAATCCTTGTCTTGAGCGCGATTTCTAACCGGGGTGTATCCTACCCTTTTGTGGGAAGAGTGATGGGTGAAGCTTTGAATAGTCAGAGCTATATTGATAACTGCCTTTCCAAATTGCTTCAGTTTGTCCACGAACATCATGCTAATGACCATATCATGTTGTGGCCATATCATGCCATTACTCAATAGATACCCAAAACTCGCTTCGACAACACAGCATACCTTTTGTTCCCTAAAACGATAATCCTCCAAACATGACGCAGGCTCGCCCAATAGAGAATTCTTGGGCTTTACTGTCTAGGAAGGTTTATCATGGAGGCTGAGCCCAAGTGGAACAATTAAGCCGGAGAATTTTCGAAAACCTGGGAGAAATTGATCTGAATTCCGTCCAGAGACATTCGAAAAAAGTTTCGTCTAGTAGAGCAGAATGGGCCATTCCACATAATTCGATAGTACAGTTTAGTTAAGTATCGAGTTGTAATGCATGATAAATAGTGTTTAAATAAATTTCTTCATTAAAAAGAAATCCGATAAATATATTGTGCCAAAACTTTGAGGACATACATGTCATATAACATCCAAAAAACATATCTCATTTTCGATTTTTTTGAGAGCCTGGAGCAGATCAATGAGACTACAAAACAATCTAATATCAGAATATCAAAATAGTTTGATTTGTCGTAGTTGTACATGCTAACCTCAGTTAGTTCAAAACTAAAATGTATCCAAACCTTGTTTACTCAAAACAAACGAGCATCGGATTGTCGCTTATATTCGCTTGTCGCTGCCACACCTAGGCATTTATGGCGCACGAATTTATACGTCGAGCACAGCAATTTGTTTTCACGGTGCGCAGCTGGGATTTGATTAGCCAAACAATATGACATCTCAAAGTTGAAAATACTTCCAATATATCTCTTACACATATTAATACTCACGCTAATGCAAATATAAAAAATTGTATTAATAATGACCATACCGTTGAAAGCTCTTCAGTTGGTCGCGGTTTCAAAATACCGAGTTTCCGTTGTACTCCCGAAAAAGATACGCATTTTGAAAATTGCACATACGAAACCTGCCGTAACATCTGCAACTAATCAAGTAGCAACAGTCAGCTGCACTAAAAATGTTGAAAGCAACTACGAGATGCGTGTCTTCAGTGGAAGGGAAAAGGCGACAAGTAAACTAGGCGTCAAAATTGAGGCAACTTTCTCAAATAACACGACTGCTTTTGCTAGAAAATGTAACTTCTTACAAAAATTTTTATTACACCATTACAACTCGCATCAAAGAAAACTTTATATATTTACCTATATATTGGTAACTTTAGATTAGCTCTTAAAGAGTTAACCATCACTTTTGACGCTCAGTTTATGACCATATTGTAGGAGAATATAAAATGAGGAGCACTAATGACAACAATTCGGCTGGTTTCTTGCGTTTTACATACTAGTTAGACTCAACAGAGTTATTTATATTCATATTATACGATAGGTGCAGTGATTTTGAATTGCATATATTCTATTTTAAACTCATACAAGGTGAGACATCTACATTGATTTTTCACAAGCAACAAATTTAATGAAGTGAAAGTTAATTTTTAGTCGCACTTAGCAAAATAGGGCAACCACGATAGGTTGAAATAAACACTTGAAATTGTAATAACTATGTAACTGTTTTGTATTGTTCTCAGTGTTATTATTATTACGTACACTGGCTACTGTTTATCGGTGTCACGTACCGAGCTTTAATTGCGTACGATAATGTAGCTTTAAATAAAAAGATTACATGCGCTATATTCTGAATTCCAAAAATTATCGTAGGTGGGAGACTATTGAGATTGGTTAACGCACTGATGGTCACGCTATATTTTTTTTTAATCCGAGATTTTTTTTCCGCTTCTCTAAGAACATATAATGACATATTTGATCAAGAGATTGTAGTAGTGGAGCCCAAGAGGATGAATGGGTAGTTTTACTTGACCAACTGGAATTTGAAGACGTGTTCGTAGAAAAAAAAGTTTTTTAGTGGTGAGGACTAGCACCTACATGTTGTCCAAAATGTAAACAAAATAGTTACACAGAAATCCTCCAGCGCGTGAGATATTAATATTGTATATGGCAGACGTGTCAATGATATTGAATGTACGAGGTCTGTAAATTAAGTGATGAGAGACTTTTTTTAATTTTTTATTCACTATGACGAAGTCTGAAGCAAAACCTGATAGCACACTGTTGAAACTGATTTCACTCATTTTTAGAAAAAAGTCTTTTCACAAAAAAATTGCTGCCGGCAACAAAATGACTCCAGCGAGTTCAAATTTGTTCTGAAGGCGAATCACATGTTCCCCTATCTCTCCTCCAAGCCCCGGCGCTTTCAGAGTTGTCAGAACGGACGCTACGTTGACAATCTCATCACTTGATTTACAGACCCCGCATAGTGAACGTACTTAACAGGATGTAAGGTATCCCTCCTTATGTTAATTTATTGCACTCAAGTAAATACCAAAATCCTCTGTTGGGCTCCCCTACTAGTGGTATGGCAGATGCAAGTGTAATGCTACTATCTCTGAAGAGCTAAGGGGGCAGAGGGGAGCAGATTCAAGGTACACCTAGACATTCATCGATACATGTCACTGCACTGAACAAAAATCGAACATTCCAAAAGTTCATTTCAATTTATGAACCAATGTCATTTTATTTTTGGTCATGCAAAAGTTTCTTATCGTTTTTGCTAGACAAGAACATAGCATTAGAAAACAAATCCATTAATGTTGCTTTGAAGCTTTCATTCGTTTTTATTTAATTTTTTTACAAAAAATAATTTCAAAACTCATTATTTGATCTAGTTTTCATTAGTTTTAGATACGATTTTTTAACATTTGTATCATTCAATGTTTTAACACCAATTTTCTGTTCCTAGGCACTTATCAAGTAGCCAAAAAATTGGAAAACAAACTTGATACCGTATGTCCAGATTTGTGACTGTACAGCTAGCTGTTCTATAAATACGAAAATCTATCTGGAAACGTCAGCATTCTATATGCAACATAAGGAAAACTGTGTCGGATCTTATCATCTTCTTCTTCATTAGTTCTTGTGATGTTTTGGGGATTAATCAGGGAAGAGCTTGTCTTTGTGGTTGTTCTAAATTATAAAAAAGGCACTTCGTCGGTTATTTGTCCAGTGCAGAGCATATAAAGTACAGATAAGGCCGGTATAGTGTGGTGTATCTATTGTTTTATGTGTAGGTGCATAGAATCACCTCATCGCTGCCGTCTGCCGAAATGGTCTGCGTCTTGATGATGTTGTAGATCTTCGCGTATGGAGCCTTGATCAGCTGCATGGTTGAGGATGAACGCAAACAAAAATAGAAACATTCTTTTGTATATTTTCACACCTTTGGCTGGTATATTATCAGAAGTTTTGTGACACAAAAACGCACTTCATTCTGGGGCCTAAAGCATACAGTTCGTATGAGATCCATACAATTGAAGAGCGGGGGAAGGATTTGTTGGTTATGCATCGGTGAGAGGAGCACAAAGCCGTGATAAGAATTTTCTGGATATTTTTTCCGGTCTTCTTCCCGATGGATCCACCACTGTAAACAGTACGGTACGACTGAACCTTCTTAGTAAATTTGCCAAATTTTCATGCGTTTCTCTTTCGTAAAATGATCCAGAATTAAAAATGTTTGCTCGCTAGATGACAAATTTGCTATACGAGGAGGTACCCAAAAATAAACGGAATAGCATTGCAGTGGGCGGAGCTTCTGTAGTACACATTTCTGCCCCTAGAGGTCGTACAGCGCAACTCATTACCAGTTCAGTGCCACCTAAGTTGTCGATCTGGCTTGTTTCGTTCCTCTGTAGTCATTATTTTTTCTAGAGCTGTTTCGTGCTTGTTGCGCTTTTTACGCTGGCAAGCTTCAGTGAGCAAACGTGCAGCTGTGAAATTTTGCTTTCTATTTGGTAAAAATACTGCTGAAACTGTTTTAATGTTGAAAATAGCTTAGAAAGATGATGCTATGGGAAAAACTCAGGAGTACGAGTGGTTTGATCGATTTAAAAATGGCGACATGTTGATTGATGACAAACCTCGTTCTGGACGTCCATCAACTGATCGAATCGATGAAAATGTTGAAAAAATTCGAGAGATTGTGCTATTTGAAGGTTTTAAGATGATTGCGAAACAGTGTTTGGCAAAAAAGACCCGATTTGTGGCAGTCAGGAGACTGGTTCTTCCACTATGATAATGCACCTGAGCACACAGTCATCTGTTCGACAGTTTCTGGCTAAAGATGGCATTATTCCGCTGCCTCACGCATCTTATTCGCCTGACCTGGCTCCAAGCGACTTTTTCTTATTTCCACGGATGAAAAGAGGCATGAAAGGAAAGCCGCTTTGACGAAATTGAAGAGGACAAGAAAAAAACGAGGGAGGAGCTACCAGACTTCAAAAAATGTTTCGAGCAGTGGAAGCACCGGTGGGACAAGTGCATTAGTTGTAGTGGACAGTCTTTTGAAGGAGATCAGGTTACTTTGTAAAAAAGTTGAAAATAAATAGCTTTTAAACAATAATTCCGGTTTTTTTTGGTACCCCCTCGTATATAATGTGAGATCGTTGAAAATAGGGCTATATTTAAATCTGGAATTACCTATTGCGGCCTATTTATGAAGTGTCGTGAGATAAATGTAACTGTGTCACAAAATTTCTGCATTATATTTTCAGCTATAGATGAAAATATTTCAAATACACTGTCCATATTTTTCCAGAATATAACTGATGGTAAATTGGTGAAAATACGGGAAGAAAATAACTCACCTCCCAACTCTCTTTAGTTAACTCTGATATTTCGCCGTCCTGACTGCCGTGTCTGCTAGCAGAAGGCGTAGGCTCTTCACTCCACAATTCTGTGTCCATTTCTACCAACTGGAATCCCCTTTCTTTGATCTGTAAGAAGTTATATCAAGATAAAGGATAATTAATACCCTCTACACGCTAGCTGCCAGTTGCCACTCAAAATGACAGCGTCAGATCGAAAATGAGACTTACGAGGTGTGGAAGAAAAGTGGTGACAACCCAACATGCGATGTGGCAACGCTGCGCCGGGGCTCAGTGAGAGTTTCACCTACGACCGGTAACCACGTGATTTTTTGGAAGTTGTGAAGCTGTGTGTTGGTTGTGCGTGACGCAAAACGGAATAGCAGAATTTGAAGCGGCGTTGTAAAATTAAATTTTGTTAGGTTTAGAGAATCGCCAAGTGTGACAATTGAAAAGCTGCATCAGGCCTATGGGGAACATTCGGCAGCCTTATAACTTAGAGCTCCGCGTTATTTTCTTGTGACGGTAGATTTTGGTAGATCAAAATATTCCAGTTGCACGCACTAAACCCAATAGTCCAACTTTCTGTTACAATAAAACTTATAATTTATAGATATGTTAAAAGCATTAACATGCCCGAAAGACCGGTAAATATATTCAAACGTATGTAGGTTCATATGTTCGTCTGACATCACAAAATTCAAAATCTTCGTGGAGCCATAAACTGTATTTGAGCCCATTCTTTATCTCGAGCTTAAGTTTTTCGCGGGCATACTATAATCATTTTTGGGAGGCAGAGATCACGTTGAAGATGAGGCCTGCAACTTCATCATCGAATATGTGAACACTCTTGTGAGATCAGACCGTCTGCTAAGATTAAGAACGTTGATCAGATTTACCCTTCATCGAATAATGACTGAACATTTGCACCTGCGAAAGATCTGTGCCAAGCAAACCTCACAACCGAAAAAGCAAGTGTCTTGATCTTGACAGAATCACCAATGACTAAGAATTCTTTAGTCGTATGATCACAAATGAATCCTGGATTTTTCAGTATGGTCCCGAGACCAAGAGATAAAGTCAGGAGAGGCACACTACGAGGTCTCTTCGGCCAAAGAAAGCTCGATTAAGCAAATTCAAGATCAAATTATAGATGATTTGTTTTTTGTCGGAACAGGACTCATCCGCATAGAATTTGTTCCTCCAGGACAAACTGTCAACCAAGTTTTTTATAAAGACGTCCTTGAAAAGCTCAGAAAGAGGGTCGTTCGGGTATGATCAGACGTTGCAGACAAGTAGATGCTGCAACATGACAACGTCACATGTCACACTGCCATCTCGATTACATATTTTTTTGCCTCAAAAGCATACGGTTCCCAGCAACCCTATTCACTTGTTCTCAGCCTCTGTGACTTTTTCCATTTTCCGAAACTGAAAAATGCCCTGAAATCACATCATTTGGGGATTTGGAAAATATTCAAAAGATTACGTCAGACAGGTCATACCGGTTGACGACTCTCAGTCCCGCTACCAAGATGGGGTCATCGTATCCATTGGTATGTAGCGCCATAGGGAACTAATTTGAAGGGGATAATACTGATGTTTGAAAATAAAATAAAAACGTTGTTAAATAAAAAATCAGTCTCATTAGTTTTCTTTCACAGCTCGTAGGGATCATGTTATGCTATGAGCGTTAAACGAGTCCATGCTCATGCTTACAACGCGGGTAGCTAACTACAGCAGCATGCTGTTCCGTCCAAAAGATGGCGCAGCACCAGCTCATTTAACGTGTGAACTTAGCTAAACCTTTAGCGAAACACCTACGACCATATTTATACAAGGAAGTGTATTAGGTCCATTACTATTTACATTCTATACATCTGATTTATTAAATTTTATATCACATGATTGGAATATGCTGATGATGTACAAATGTATAAAGCTTGCAAGCCAAATGAAGTTAATTTATTGATTAAAGAGTTAAATGTAAATCTAGAAATGATTGCAAACTATTCCAAAAATTATTGTTTGAAACTGAATCCCACAAAAACTAAAGCTTGCTGCATTGGTTCTAGGTTAAATATTTCAAAATTTAAAGGATTGATGCGTACAGCCATTGTTTTAGGTAATACATCTGTTGAAATTGTAGAGGAGACTAAGAATTTAGGCATTTTGTTGGACACAAATTTAAGTTTTGAGAACCATGTCATTAATAAACTTCGAGTATGCTATTGTAAATACAAGTCACTTTGGAGATACAAACATGTTTTAACCAGCGATATAAAATTAAGGCTTACCAATGCACTAATCCTCACTCACCTAGACTATGGCGCTACAGTATATTATAATTTTCTGACGGAAGAAATGAAGCACAAAATTCAAGTATTACAAAACTGCTGCATGAGATTCTGTTTCAAAGATATACATATACAAGAACATATTACTGGATATTATGTGAGAGAAAATCTTTTAAAATTCAAGTATCGTGCATTACTTCAGTATGGAACTCTACTATATATACGTAAAGTTTTAAAATATAAATTACCCAGATATCTGTTTATTGCTTTGGAGAAGTAAAGTTTCCTTACGCTACAATGAATACTTCAATATTCCAGTTGATACAACATCTAAATTCAAAAAATGTTTTACTTACACAGCACCATATCTACTAAACGATTATTTAGAACTTTTTGAAGCACATTCCATCCAAAACTTCAGAAATGAGATGGAAAAAGTGCTACTACAGCTGCAAAGATTTGAATCCACAAATTAAATTTATGGCGCTTGCTACACTACTCTCCATTAACACTCAGACTATATCGTATTATATACTGTGTTGTGCATAATATTTGTTGTGAATACTAATCATTCTGTTGATGTTAAAAAACGCTCATGAAGTTAACTTTTTAGGGTGAGGTGAAAAATGGCCCTGCCAATCCTCTTTCCTTTTGGAATGTTGTCGTTTTTATATTTTTATGTATAAACATTCCAATAAAAATTATTATTATTATTATTATTATAACCAGTGCTTGCCCTTGTATAGCGCACAATACGAGAGGCGAATGAATACATTTTGCGCCATCTCTTAGCAGAGAGTGGTGTTAACGCATGGAATACCTAAGTACTGTGGTTAGCCAGCTACGGTGTAAAAATATGTAGCTTATGTCGCATTATGAGGGACGCCTTTTAAGTTTTGTGTGTGTTCTCACTACAGTGAATTTTTAAGAGTCTCCAAGTCATTAGAAAAATGAAACTCAACCGAGAACATTTTCGCGCCATAATTAGTCGACAATTTCCCGTTGGTATGGAGAATTCAAACGTGGACGGGTTAGTCTTAGCAACGATCCCAGGGTGGGTGCACCAAAAACGGCAGTCACCCAGGAAAACGTCGATGCTGTGCGCAAACTCATCATTGAAGATAGACATGTGGCATATCGCGAGATTGAGGCGTCCTTGAAGATCTCAAAGACCTCAATTCAAAAAAATTTTACACGAAGAATTAGGAGCAAGAAAATTAGTTTCTCGTTGACCCCACCTGTTGACTGAAAAGCAGAAAGCATCCAGGGTTAATTGGTGTCAAAAAACGCTTGACCGTTTCAATTCCGGAAACTCAAAAAATGTGTACAGCATTGCTAGTGGTGACGAATCGTGGATTTACTGTTATGAACCAGGAAATAATCGACAGTGGGCCGTTTGGGTGTTCCAAGGTGAAGAAAAGCCAACAAAAGTCATCCGTTCTCGAAGTGTTCCGAAAAAGATGGTCGCGACATTTGTGTCAAAAGCGGGTCATATTGCAACAAGTCCTCTTAATGAGCAAAGAGCTGTTGCTGCGGATTGGTATAGCACCATTTGTTTGGCAAAAGTCATCACCGAGCTTCAAGAAATCAACCCCGAAAGAAGAATCATCCTCCACCAAGACAATGCAAGCTCGCACACATCCCAAACAACAAGGCAGTATTTAACGGAAGAAAACGTGGAATTATTGGACCATCCTCCATATAGTCCTGATCTAAGTCCTAACGATTTCTTTACTTTCCAGAAAATTAAAAACAGACTGCGTGGTCATAGGTTCCAGTCACCAGAAGAAGCAATTGACGCATTCAAAAATGGCGTTTTGGATCTGCCAGCAAACGAATGGAATAAGTGCTTCGAAAATTGGTTCGAGCGCATGCAGATATGCATTAATCTTCGTGGAGAATACTTCAAAAAGTCATTTAAAACTACCTACCGTGTTGTTTTATTTCCATATGCAAAACTTGAAAGACATCCCTCGTATAATGCGACAAGTCTTGAACAAAGGACCAGGGGGACGACATTTTGCATACAACTAATTATTTGACATCTATCTGTACTGCCCAATTGGATAAACGGTAGGTACTACCATTAATTAAAGTATTCTGCCTCACGATAGCCAACCTAATACTATATTCCCACGTCCAAAGAATTATACGAGATAAAATGAAATAACGTAGCCTCATCCATGAGAATTTGACACAGCTGTTTCTCTATTTAGTGTATATACTTTGAAAAGTTTACTGACTCATAGATTTGTTGTGGACATAACTGTATGAGCTTATACTAAGTGGGCACAGTTCCATCAATGAGATACTAGCTGTTTCAGAGTATACAGGGTAACCTGAAAGTTGCGATTTTCCTTTCCCGAAACAACTAGGTTTAGTAAGAACAAAGCTAATGTGTGTTGAAACTACAGCGCAAAAGTAAAAAAAATTAAAAAGTACTCCTCGTTCATCAAAAAGAAAGTTGTCTGCCATAGATTCAAAGACACAGGCATTTGCAGACGTAGCCAAGCATCAGCGTAGGCTTTTAGAATTGACTGCCTTTCCGGACTAAATGCAGCAGATTGATAAATTCGCACACGTAACTCGTCAACGATGTTCATCTCAGTTTTATGCACTAAACATTTCATTTTGCAACAAACAAAAAAGAAATCATGAAGGATCTTGAAAAACGATCTGCATGTACTCGCGAAGCCTCGGCGACACTTCGAAGTCACTCACCGTTAAGTAAAATAATATGGATAACTCCAATATTACTGCATGAGTGTGCCATTTTTGTTTTGTTTTTTAGAAACGATGTGTAAGGGTTTTGTTCACCAGCCAATCTTTACGTATAATTTTTTTGGACGAGTTTGGTTTACTTTAAATGGAGATCTGATCATATTCCGATCTAGTAGTATCGTGAACTGCCCGTGTTCTTCTAATTTCATATCCGTTAGAACATATTTAATTACACTGATTAAAAAACAATAGATGTTTCTCTGTCATAAATTCTAATTTTCGTTATGTAAAACTGCTATAATTTAATGCTTGGTACCAGCACAGCAATAAGCTGTCTGGTTTTGTATCTCTGATTCAATGACATGTTTGAAACGTCTTGTGCATTCCCCATGTACTTATATGGATGGCCACCCGTTCTACTCAATTCCTTTTACAGATGATTCTTATTGAGATGCAGCATACTGATCCATTTTCACGTACCGCTTTGAAGTCTCCCAAATAGGCGAAGTGGAATAGAAAAAAATATGAATGCAATGTGATTGTAATAGCAAACTAAAATACGTTTGCAGTCAATAAAAATTCAGTAAATCAGGTTGACTCAATATTTTTCAAGCTCTAAAAGAGGCATCAAGTAGATTATCTCGGCACTTCTTACGATGTATGATTGACTATGCGAATAACAAGGCCGTGAGAGAAATTCGAATAAAAAACTGATCACTCTTTTAAGTACGATAGTCCATCCAACAGATCTGAAATAATTATGAAATATATGTACATAAATAACTATTCAGTTCAATGACAAAAGAATCAATAAAATTGTTATGTATTAATTCAAATAAAAATGTAGTTTAAGTGCTATTTCTGATATTAAAAGTACATTATCTATCAAGTTCATACGTGTGTTACAAGGTTCTAGAATCGAATGGCAAACACTCTAGCTGCCCTGATTAGTTGATTTATTGCGAATTTCACGTATTTTCTTCGAAAAAACGTTTTATTCATCAAGTTACACGCGAATACAATGTTTTACTTATCAGTTAGGATAGCTAGACCAATAGATGTATGCATATTTGATCCTACACTTGTGATTTGGCAAAAATGGTTCGTATAGCAAATAATTACTTAAACTCTATTGATTGCAAGTTATACATTGTTTTGCAAGCAATCAACGTATTGGCAAGTCAACAGAATTAAGTGTGATTTGTGTTAAAATTACTATAGTTATTTTGGGATGTTGAAATCGAATTCGAAGGAATTCTCAATGCATCCTGTTATTAGGCGAAAAATTGCAAATGCGACTTTGCAATGCATTCATTTTCGTTGTCGTTACATACAAGTGAGTACACTTCAAGTAATTTGGAACACTGACTTCGAATATCAATGCGAAAGCTTGTAAAACGTCATGGAACCCAGTTTAGAATAAGCCACATAGGTTTGCTTATTAATGGCAAAATCAAATTGGTATCGGATTCGGAATTGTATACAGATTTATATAGATTTTAGGTTACACATACGATACGTGAGAATTTGTGGAAAAAATGATAGGATTTTGAACTCCGAATTCGGTTACAGCGATTCAAACAATCATAGTTGTGTTAACATTCTAACATATACTTCTGTATATGGTCACTAAACATGAACGAATTGACTGTATTTTAAATTCCTCTTAACTATGCGTAGGCTACTTTTTACCAGTTTTATTTTTACTCAAATTAAGCAGCGAGATAAAGAAATACATATACGGTATCAACACGTACCATTAAAACTACAGTCCAATAATTCCTCATGTATATTCACAAACTCCATGTTACCACTATATCCCAAAAATGTCAAAATACCACTACTCGTTTAGCTGAATGTCACTACACCAACTAAAATTTAACATATAAACTGCAACAATTTTAATATTTACAGCATCATGTTTTTTTCTCAAATCAAGCGCGGCGGTGGCGATGAAAACAGTTGAACATTAGCCGCCAATTACTACCGCAGGATCAAGGTTGGCGTTGGCAAGAAAGCGCGATACACTGACCGTCGACTGTTTTTGATAGAGCGAAAGTCGCATACAACAACATTGGTCTCACTGATTTTTCTGTATTGGAAATACTGTGATCAGAGAGGCTGAAGACTGGATCTGGGTGGGAGCGTAGTCAAATCGAATTCCGGCCATTGTTGATACCACATTACAAACATTTTAATTTGTTGCATAATTTTCGACTGGCACGAACATTATATAGTACGGTGAATATAGTAGTTGGAGCCGACAAAATGAGGAGCTTCCGGTGCTTCATTGACAATTCTAATTATTATTATTAAAAAAATTATAATTTTATTTTCTGCTTTCTGTTAATTGTCAATAAATACATATAATTGATATGTCAACAAGGTAAATGATTTTCCGATAGGAATAGCTCGATTGTTAAATGGAACAAATTGAGCTATGGGAATGACAAAGTTATTTTTTATTTGAAAAGCCATTGTATGCTACCGTAAAAATGTACGGTCCCACTGAAGTTTGACTCTGTCACGTAGAAAGAGAGAAAGGAGGTGTAGATTCACCAATCTGTTGTCAGTTTCATACCGAGATTGACGGGAGGCCCAACAAGTCTCATTTCTCTACATCATATACTTAACCTTTTAATAGCGACATTCGAAATCAGGGTCCCCAAAAACTCTGGTGTACAGAGTTGTACCTATTTGTAAATACGCGGAACGAAAATGGAAACTTTGCCCTATGAAATTACTGTTGCGTCAAGTAGGTTTATTTTATTAGAAACTCTCAGAAAGACGTATAACTAAGGAATTCAGTGGATCAGATCAGTCAAATAGTCGCATACAATTAGTCTCTCCCACTCTTCGAAATGTTTGCCTTCCAGCTGCTGCACTGTTGATGAACACCTGCCTTACCCAGACCTGGCCTACTTTGGGACAAGGTTATACTCTTTTCGCCTGTTTATTCTAAGCCTTAAGGTCATATGTACGGGAAATCTATGCATGAAATATGTCTGAGAGGTGCGGAGAGTTGTCCTGATTAGAGGCGCATAAATATAATACCTCCAAAAAATTGAGTTACATAATCCCCAATCTCCTACAACCCCCCCCCCTCAATTTTTTGTCTCTAAAAAATTCTTAAAAATAAACAGATTTCTGAAAATGAAGTTTGAGCGGTTTTTATTTATTTAATCGTTTGCCAGTAGCTTCGACGCCACTGGATCGATTTTCAAAAACTATAAAGCTTTTCTCTGCCTCATCCATAGTAGTAACCTAGCGTCATAAATTCATCTAAATCAAAACGGTACTTTTCAAGTTATAGAGGGGAGCGGATAGACAAACAGAAAGACCGACGAAAATGACTGACATGTTTTTTTGTGACGTACATGTCATGTAACATCCAAAAAACATATCCCACTTTAGCAAGTGGCGAGTGAAAGTCTCAGGTATCTTCAATTTGGATGAGAATTCATTTCGTGTATAAATCGGGTGCATTGATTATGAATCCGGTATCGGTTTTTCTGCGACATTCGTAGAAAACCTTAAAAAGCCTATTTTTCTAGTCTTATCACTTACAGATACTCTACGTATAGATTTGGAAAAATGAGCAGTTTTTTAGTAACATATACACCAATGTCTTAGTATTACCTAGATGTTAGGCACCGAAAAATAAACATACATAAACAAAACCTAATCTGGACTTGCATCTCGATCAGATCAAACGTGAACACGTACGATACGCATCAGAACTCGATCCAGGTGCTGACCGCGTTGGTAAACAAAACCTTTATACATAATCATAATAATAATAATAATAATAGCGTTTATTTGCAGAGCAAAAAAAATGCAAAGAGAAAGAAAAATTAAAAATAAAGAAACAATATGAATTCCCTGCAAACTAGCCCAACAAACAAAATTACAACAGAGGAGTTCTTAACCAAATTAATATTAATAATAAATAAATAATAATTATAAACGTCAAAAAAAATATGTATATAAAGAAATTATATAAAAATATAATTTAAAATATAATTTAATGAAAAAGGTCAAATCATTTTAGGCAGATTTAACAAAAAAAAATATTTAAAATATAAAAAGGAAAGGAACAATATAAAGTAGACACTACAATTCATCTAATAGAAATTTTCTGTATCTTCTTTTAAAAGCTGACACAGACACAGACTTAAGGTTTGTGGGGACGTGATTGCACAAGTGGTAGATAAAATGAGAAAAACATCTGGTAAACATAGATGTACGATGACGTGGTTGGGAAATAAGCTTCCGATACCGAACATTGATATTGTGAACATCACTTCGAAATTTAATCTTATTATATAAATAAGGTGGAGTTTTACATAGAATAATTTTATGACACAAAACATCGGTTCTAAAAAAACAAAACAAGAATGGCACACTTATACAGCAATATCGGAGTTGTCCATGGTATTTTAATTTACGGTGAGTGTCTTGGAAATGCTACCGAGGCTTCGCGAGTGCAGAAATGTATGGTGTATAAAACTCAGATCCATACGTCTAAAGTCTACACTGATGCTTCTCCGATGATTTTTTTGACACGGGAATATAGTATTAGATTGACTATCTTCAGGTAGAATACGTTAATCAGTGCTTGCAGATATGAGAGGCGAAAATGGATATAACAGTACAGTATAAGTACGAAAACAGCAACTCACCTTTTCTTCATCGAGTTCCCCGTACAAATGCGGCACCCAAGCGTTGACAAACGCGTACAGTTCGTCCACCCTGTTCTTGGGCACGCTGAACCAGTATTCGGGACGCATCTTCTTCTTCCCGTAGGACATCAGTGGCGTGGATCTGGGGATCGGTCTGTCCGCCGGTTTGCCCATGCGCAGTCGAAGGTACAAAGGTGGGTCGTCTGACGGACGTGCAGGGCGAGGGATCAGTTCTGGAAGAGGATGAAATTTTACAAATCTAGCTGTTGAACCACACAACGTGTCCCAGAATAATTCACACAATTCACACAAACAATGGCGTCAAGTCAGTTGACTCTGCACGTCCTACGTAACGCATAAAGGATTATATTCGGAATAAGTTAGCCCCTCATAGGAAAAAGTTGTCCACGAATATGTATAACAAAATGATTAAACGTATCGACCACTAAACAGAAGTTTCGCAGCTCTGCTTGTCTCGACACTCGCAAACCCGGCACGGTCTTGTATACACCGTTACACGCATCATCGCTCAATTATCGCTCAACATTCGAAGCAGACAGACTTATGCTCGTTTAGTTAACTGGCCCGCGTATATTGAAACTATATCATTCAAGTTTTAAGAGGAAATCTATGATATATGAAATAGTTTAATAGGTGCGTAGAAGCACCGGAGACGGAAAAGTATAAATTACTAGCACCAAAAAAATATCTCCTTCAACCCAATTTTAAAGCCCTGCATTTTTTTCCTGGAGATGATCAGAATCCTCTGAAACGTAAAAAACGCAGTTTGACCTATTTTTTATTTTTATTTTTTTCGTTTTTTGCCTATAGATCCGCCGTTTCTGGCACTGGGCCGATTTTCAAAAACTATAGAAACGATTAGCGGACATACAAACGGAAATGGGTCGCATGGTTTTTCGTCTCGTACGTTATATAACACCAAAAAAAAAACATCACATTCGAAAATCTTCGCGATGACGAAAATTGGAACTTGATTAAGTCATCTGAAAATGTATTTCATGGGATTTTTCAAGTGTCGCTGATTACAAATCTATTTATTGTGGGTGTGACTATTTTCAAACTGGCGGAACCATTATACTGGATCTTATCAAGTGAGATTTCATCGTTGTTTGTTCGAGCAGTCCGTAGGACTTTAGCTCTGGTGGCACAATATCAGGTAAGTCTGTCAAGTCTGGTAACCTCGAAACCAAATATCAACTTATTCTAGGACACACTATCTATAGGTTTGTATTACACTTACAAATTTAAAAAAATGTACACGAAAGATTTTACGCAGAATGTCACATTATCCCTGATGGCTATATATCGACCAACGAAAATAGTCAATATAATCAAAAATCATAAGGCACAATGTCCATCATCCAAATCGACAGCTTTACTTTGCTCCAAGAAAAAGTGTCCTTTCCTCAAATCAAAATTAAACATATGTATCAATACCTTACTTACATTTTGCCATTCCGCAAGGACTTAGGTTTATATTTGGATGACAATGTCACGTTCTATGTTAATGTAGGACTAGTTATCTCAGACAGATATGCAAATAAATCTTTTTTAAATAAAAAAGTCAAGAAAATATTATGTGAGTCATTGATGGTAAATTAGATTACTTCAACATTGCTTATTACCCCTGAGTGGACGAAACACCAAAATACAGGCTGCAAAAAATCAAAATACATGCTACCGCTATATAAATAATTTAAGAAGGTACGGTCAAGTTTATCACTCAATATCTTCCGTTAATTGATTAAAAATATCCGATATTTTCAAATACAACTTTGTTAGATTTGTTATCATAACATTAAAAACCTATGTTCCCTCTTAGTTTAGCAGCTTTCCAAAAAAAAAAACAGGATTTCTCATCAAATGCTTAATTATTTTCTTCTCTCCTGTTTTAGTTACATGTTCTTTGCATGTATCTTCCTGACCTGTCCGAATGGTACCAAGGTCCTCTGCTTCTGGAGAATATTTGGTCTATTACCTTTAGGCTAGGTTTTGAGTTAAAATAGTAATAAGCCTTTTGACATGGTTAAGCATGAATGACCATTGGCCAGACTCCGATATTTCTAACACTATGTATTTGTTACAATTTATTTGTTACAATAACGTCGATTGGACTGAATTGAAAATCAGCAAATCACTATAATGTTTTATGTCCACCGAGCATAGGGGGAAGGGGTATCAGACAGTGCAAAGAGCCGTGTGAGAAGTTAAGAATGTGTGGAAAATGTGTGTAGAAAATACATTCAGGGTGTTCATTTGAAAACTTCCCACCATGGATTTATCGAAAACCACTAATTAAAAGAAAAAACGCCGAGACTCGTCAAAAGATTTGTCAAGGGGTATAACTTTTTAACCAAAAACTACTTCACCCCCTTTCACCCTCTGCCTCCAAGAGCCATTCCCTTCAAAATTTTAAACGACAAGGGGTATCCAGAAATAGCTTGTTTGAAAGGTCTTTCGAAGTCCTTTAATTTGACGTTTGATTTTTTGAAATCAGTTGATTCGAAAATTAGAAAAATCTTTATTTATCTTAATTTGTTCAGATATAAAACAAAAACACACGAAAATATCACTTTTTATTTCAATAAGTGTTAAAAATGTTGCCCATTAGAGTTTGCCAAATCTACAATTCATTTATAATTTAAAACGGAAACTACTAACACAAACAGCAATTCGGAAGATTAGACGTGGCAACAACCAAATAACAACCCGATTTTTTTTCCGCATTCTTTTCTTCATCATAGATATCCTGGGCGAACTGTATTTTTGATATACCTGTTTAGTTATTTCTTGCTAAGGGAAATAATGAATTTAATTTGCTGACGGTTACCTTTGTGACAATTTTTTTTTTTTTTTTTTTTTTTTATACTCCAACTACCACGAAGGCCTAAGGCCTAAGCACCCATTGGGTACCGTGGGGCTATGGGGGATACATGGGAAAGGGGGGACGCCACACGGACTCTGGCGAGGGAACACGTGTGCATGCAACATGCACACATTCTGGCTCCGCCTACGAGAACCGCCGGGTGGTACCTCCGCGTTCGACAGTCAGAGACCATCTACCACCTACGAACAATCACAACATCCATGGCCAAGAGAAACATTTCTCCTGGGACGGGACTCGAACCCGCACAGCGCACGGCGGCTGATCAGGAGACCGAAGAGTCTACTACTGCGGCCACCGCTGCTGCCTAAAACAAACACACAACATCCATGGCGAAGGCGAGATTCGAACTCGCGGCCCGGCCGGCCGGCTGATCAGTAGCACGACACTCTGACCCACGCGGCCAACCGAGGTCCCAATCTTGGGATAGTGAACAATAATATATTGATTCAGATTTTACTTCCAAATTATGGTGCCCAAAATCAATGTGCTCGGCAAACTGCCGTTACGCTTAGCGCCAAACATCCGGGGCAGATAACTTCGCATAGGTATGTTTTGGACCTTGTTACTAAATTTACTCAAACTGGATCTGTTGCAAATAAAAAATACTATCACCGGAGAGTTTTGGATGAAGCCGCTCAAGTTGAAGTTTTGGGTCATTTTGGAATAAATCCTAATACTTCATTACGCCAAATTGTTGCTGCGACTTTTATTTCATTAGGTTCTGTACACACAGTTACTAAACTCCATAAATTTCATCTATTGAAAATGAAAATATTGCATGAGTTAACCGAAAATGATTTCGATAGGCGAGTTGAGTTTTGGGAACAAATGAGTGCAGTGATTAATGATAATACCATTCATGTAATGAATATCTGCATCCTCATGCTTTTGTAGAAGGGTATACCCAGTGCCCCCAAAAAATTAATGTATAGACAGGCATTTTAAGAAACAAAGTGATTGGGCCATTGTTTATTAATGGAAATTTGAATGGAGACATTTATTTAGATATGTTGACAAATACCATCATTCCGTTTATCACTGAAACAATTGAAAGTCGAAGAGGATGGAAACCCTATACTTGATGAGGCTGAAATAATATTTCAGCAAGACGGTGCTCCTCCTCACTATGTTATTCCAGTTCGGCAATGACTAGACGAGTTTCCAGATAAATGGATAGGGCGAAGAGGGCCTAGAGAATGGCCTGCTAGATCTCCTGATTTGACGCTATTAGACTTTTTTTCTATGGGGCCATTTGAAATCTATTGTGTTTACTCCCCAACCTGAAAGTTTTAATGAACTTCGTCAACGCATCATCGAAAGATGCCATGATATCCCACAACATGTTTTTGAAAATGTCAGGAATTTGAACATCGCCTATATCATTGTTTGGCCAATAAAAGGGCAAAATTTTGAACACATATTGAAATAAAAAGTGATATTTTCGTTTGTTTTTGTTTTCTATGTGAACAAAGATAAATAAATATTTTTCTAATTTTCTTGAAAACGGATCAACCGATTTTAAAAAATCAAACGTCAAAAGATAGGACTACGAAAGAGCTTTTAAACAAGCTATTACTCAATACACCTTGTAATTTAATTTTTTTAAAGGGATGACCCTGGGGGCAAAGGGTAAAAGGGGGTGAAGTAGTTTTTGGTTAAGAAGTCGTCCCCCTTCAAAAGTCTTTTGACGTGTCTTGGCGTTTTTTCTTTTAATCAGTGGTTTTTCATATATCCGTTGTGGGAAATTTTCAAATGAACACCCTGTATGAAGATATCGAAAGAAAAAGATCCAAAGAATATCCATGCAAACCTACCAAAAGTCTGTAGCCCATAATGTGGTGATTTAACTGCAGCATTTGAAAAAAATGTTTAATGTATTGTAGTCTAATGATATGTTCAAGCATGTGGATAAGCGAAATTTTATATTCAAGCTAGCAGAAGCCATAATCTCTTACGCCTTTTGCTTCTTATTCAGTGTGAGTAAATATTTATGAAAAGATGATAAAAATAGGTATTTTTCTGCCCCATCTGGGAAAGAACGCAACCTAGTTTATTATTAGAAGCAGTAAAAATACTTTTTGGAGAAACCTGGAAAGTGGAGTGAGTTCGAGTAAGTAAGCACGTTTTGAAAAACGAATTTCTAACATACTTTCTACTTCCTCTATCTGGAGTAGTCATGTGTATATCCAATATTCTTCATATTCAAAGACTTCGGAAAATGCTTGTGATTTGATTCGTGGACATAAGGATTTTATTTTCGAAGCTTGTAAAGTCTCGTGGATTCGCGGAGCAAGATTTTGCGTTACTCAAACAAATGGGGACAATTTTGTAAAGACAGTATCCATTTAACTTGATAATGATTTTTTTAAATAATGTTTAATAGTGTAAACTCTCTTATTATGAAACTTTTATATACGTGATTTTTGGTACATCCACTTCTTTTGACGACTTCTACAAGCTGTTAAAATAAATGACTCAATTTTTAAAACTTTGTATAGTAAAAAAGTTGCGTCTGAGGACATTCAGTATGATGAATAATCAATTACAATCTTCCCGGGTTATTTACTATATTATCGATACATTTGTTTAACAATGTGTCGAAAAATACTCACTGTCAAATGAAACAAACAGCTCCGGCATATCTTCGACAGACACCATCGATCTGTAATCTAGCTTTGGTACAGGCGGCTTGCTTTTTGTCTTTTCCGGTTCTGTAGGTTGCCTCATGAACGTACCTACTGACGACCTCCTGGAAAATTGAAAACAGTTTGAATACATGATCTATGTAAAGTAGATAAATACAACGAGCATCGCATTCTAGTCCTATGTGGTAGAGACAAAGCTAAACAGTTAGATGTTAGAGCGATAACGATAACATGTATGTGTGTATGTGTGTGTGGTGCTTAGAAAAGGTTTTTTCATCGGCACTACATATGCGGCTATAAATGAAAAATCCCTTTAGTTTTCAATTTAAATTTTGTAGCATACTGTATATATCGTGCATCTACTGACCTTGGTATGTTCGGGTAGACAAACGGTAACAAAGTTTAAAATGTTACTTTGTTTAATTTTTCTACAATTTTATTTCGAATCACAACAATGTTCGTCATGTTACAAATAGGTGGCAGCCAAGTGCTAAAACCACTGCCTGAGCTGGCCACCGAATTAGAGAGAAGATGAGCTGAAGATAGGAACTAAGCATTTTCCAAAAAATTTTCGACGAAATTTGAATATTCCGACACCAAAACGCCTATTGTGCTATTTGCCGGGAGTGCCGTGAGTCAGGTGCATGATGGGGGAAACTGAATCGATCGCTACGCACCCGGTGGTCAAAATGGGGCTAATAGCGGTCTATGTAACACCTGAAACTAATCATGTGGTTTTCATGCTGGTAATTCTCAATGTTCATCTGCCAGATAAATGAAATCGCTTATGTTTGAATTCCTGCTCCCAAAAGATGTCCAGCCTCCTAAAGCGACAAGCGAGCATGAGGTTACCGGTCGTCTTTTTTATGTACTAGACACGTCACGATCGTCCATCGTCTTGAAACTGCCAACAGTCCTCCGAATACGCGAAAGCTGTTGTCGCACCGTTTAACTGCTATGGACACAACAACTATAATGTAACGTAATTCATGTACTTCCAAATATTGCCTGTCCGAACAAACCAAGCTCACGAGCAACAACACTTACGACAAATCATAATCATATATATATACACATGTAGCCTCATAATGCACTATACACACACATACCCGACGGCGCCAACGGACGCGCCGACCTGCGCCCCCATAGCGCCTACTTGCGCACCCATGGCGCCCACCTGAGCCCCTACTTGGGCGCCCATGGCTCCCACTTGAGCGCCCATCGCCCCAATGAAGTTCGCCGGAAAGAAACTGACGCCACCGGAAGTGGCGCTAGTGGCACTTGCGCTGTCCGATGAGGAGGATGTTGTCGTACAAGCAGAACCGGGGGGCAGGCCCCCACTGCCCAGCCCACCTCCGCCGCTGTCTTCCGACGGGGTCTTGTGGAACAGGCCCGAGCCGAAGTCGGGCAGGTGGAGCGGAGAGCTGGTTAGTGTCGGGTTAGTAAAGGGGCTGGTTAGTAAATGTTCTTGGCACAGGAAAAGGGAAATAATTATTGAATGTCCAGAATTTCGAGACCGTAAAAACAAAACTTGCATGCGACTGTACGACGCTTGAAGCGTGTTCTGCTGAAACTGGATTCCTTGGAAACAATTGATCTCTCATTGGAAACAGTGAAACAATAACGCTTCCTTGAGGAAAGTTCAAGGGAGGATTTGAATTTTCAGTTCACAGTAGGCTGTAACAGCTGTCATCACAAGTTGTCATCGATGTCAGAAAGATGTTTCTTTGCTGACCGTATCTACTTAGCATTTTGACGATACAATTGGAATTGAATTATTTGTGCTAATTATCAATAAACAATACAAATTAGTAACGTGTGCCTCCTGTAATTACAGCGCAATCACTGGAAAGCAAAAATCTGAATATATTCAACCAGTGGCATCGACTTGGATTACCTCTGTCATATTCAATTACTACAGTATTTCACTAAATCAAAAAAAGATATTTTATACCCAAATTCTATATTATTATAAATTGCAATGTGTGGCTATAAAAAAAGAATTTTAGTTGCATTTGATTCAGATACTAGAGAGATTTAAAAGGATCATTGAAAATAAATACAAATAGCAGCAGTAGAGCAGTTCGGTGCAACTGGTTGCCTATATTCAAACAAATTATTTTGCATTGTTTATTGATATTTAACAAGAAAGCCTCAGGCCTAAAGGAAGGTATATATATATATATATACATCTGACTCTTAATCTCGGTTCTATGGTCGCATGTAAGGGGTTAAGTACGAATAAACTTCTTAGTAAAAAAATGAATTTGAATTATGTTACAAACTCCTGTTCCTGTTTACGTTCGCCTAAGGACGCCACTATCTACTAGTTTGTTAAAGACTGGGTCATAGTAAAGGATATTGTTTCTTATAATAAATAAGTGAAGTTAAATGTTTTTTTTTTACATAAAACAAACTAAGTAGGATATTAAAATTTCACACTGAACTACAATCAACCCCACATCCGTCAATTTCAACTTGATTTTAATACCTAAACTAAAATGAATAAAAAAGGTTGACAGTCCCGAAACTGCCCTCCCCGTTGCCGATTCCTTCTTTTTCCTATGGGCATATGAGGACGTGCCCACTGCCCAGAGTCCCGGCTCGATGAGGAGCCCCCAAATGTCCAAAAATTAAACGAAATTTCCTTTAAATTGACTTTGGATCCCGAATCAACGACCAGGACTACCCAGGAAAAATGATTTGGGTATGTACCCAAATAGTGTACCTGATGTCAGTTTTGACTAAAATATTAGACTACCTACAGTTAATATCACAATCTATATTTGTCCAGATATAGATATGTTTTTGATGTGAAAATAACCGTTGTTTTTGTTCCTTTTTCCTGTGGTTATAAAATTTCATGCCATCGATGTGTGCTATCACAACCTAGTAAAGAAAATCAAGTTGAAGGCAGCTTAACAGCTTTTTGGCAGCACAACAACTTTTTCCTAACTATAATCATTGATTAACAAATTACTATTACTGCATTCTGGCGACCAAAAAGGAATATCTGAAAGATACTAGCTCCATCTGTGAAGCACTAGAAGAACCAAACTCGTTTCGAATATTTCTAAATTCATTTTTGTGTTCTGTTACTGTCTCAGATATGGCGCTAGGGTCTTTCAGATCCCTTTTTGTGCCCTCCAATATAGTGTATGTATGGTTGGCTATCTTTAGGTAAAATTTAATCATGCTATAATGACAGAAACTTCAGTAATAATTAGTATAACAGGTCGTGGGTATTTTTATTGCCACAATAATTTACAGAAAAAATGTTATGTTACTGAAGCACAAAAACAGTTTTGGTTAAAAAAGAAAAGAAAAAACAGAATGAAAAAGTGTATAAGAATAAGCACTTACCTCGAGAATACTTTTGAAAACACTGAGGAATGTTGTACATCCGCCGCCGAATGTGGATGACTAGGTGTTTTATCTTCATCTTTCTCCCCTCCCAAAGTTTCCATCCAAGAAAGGGGATATGACAGTCTTTTTAACATCTAAAAAATACAGAAATATAATTGTCAAACACGTATGACGTTACTATAAAATAGGGATTGTATACTGAAACTACAAAACAACTCATACAAAAACGTCTTTTTTTACTCTGATGCAGCCGCACAGGCAGAAGCCTAAATGTCAAGGTTATGGGGATCGCAAAGAATCTTTGTCAATCCGATTTCTGAACATCATGGAGGAGAGCTGTGAAGAGCAACGCACATTGGTGTAGCAGTAGAAGAGAGCTAGATCGCCGACGGCACTCCGATGCGAAAGGGTCTGCTGGAGAAGAGTCATAGATCAGTCGGCCAGCCCTCCTCTGAACAGCATCGAGCGTGAATAATGTAGTCGGGGCGGCAGCACCCCAAACATGTGAGCAATACTCCAGACTAGGTCTTATCTGGTCCTGGTCCTATATCGAGTGAACAGGTCATTTGGAAAAAATTACTTCTTTGCCCTAAACAAATAGCCTAGCTGTTTCCCAGCAGTTACTGCTATTGATATGTTGGTGCCAGACCAAGTCCTCGATGATCTGGACTCCGACCAGCCTAAATGGTCCGCTCTTTGGCAGAACTTACGCATCTATCGAAACCGGATCAGCGCTTGGACCCTTTTTGTTCGTTACTGTGTTTTACAGGCATCAAACTGTACCAGATTGTTGCATCCCCAGCAGTAATAACCTCCAAGTCTCTCATTAGAGACGAAGTCGCTGCTAGTCGTCTTTTCTCCAGCTCACCGGCAGAGATTGGCGTCACTTGAATGGCAGTAAGCCATTTTCTGTTACTTTCTTTTGTCGCGTTTTGACGTGTTGAGCTATCGTGGAATATAATTTAGACACTGGACGCTTTTTCTCACCTTATTTTTCCTACTATCAGACTTTTCTCCATCCTCCTTCTGTCCCTCGTTTCCAGACCCAGTGGATCCGCTTCCGCCATCCGGTTCTGAGGTACTGTCCAAACTGAACGACACAGAGTTCGTTTTTTTCCTGCCCCCCGTCGAATCTGTCGGATCGCTTGTCGTCAAGGTCGACGGAGCTATCGTGATAGGCGGCACCCAATCCTTCGAAAGTACTATTTCTGCATCGCTGTATTTCTAAAAAAAAATACACACACACAGCGTAAGTTACCTGGACTATAATCTAACAGGTAGTTCATTTGAAAACTTCTCATCACGGATTTATCGATAACCACTGATTAAAATAAAAAACGCCGAGACACGTCGAAAGATTTATGAAGGACGACAAGTTTTTAACCAAAATATCAAACATAAAAACAAAGGACTTCGAAAGACCTTTGAAACATATACTCCTTGTCATTTAAAATTTTTGAGAGAATGACCCTGGAGGGCCGAGACTTAAAGGGGGCGAATTAGTTTTTGGGCGTTGTCCCACTTGACAAATCTCTTGACGTGTCTCGGTGTTTTTCTTTTAATCAGTGGTTTTCGATAAATCCGTAGTGGGAAGTTTTCAAATGAACACCCTGCATGATATATCACACACGGACAAGGTTCAAATGGTATAAAAATGGCCTCAAGTATATTGACTCTGTACTTCTCACACAATTCAACAAAAATGGTCTTTGAACGCGCAGCATGTATGTAGGTATATATACGTAAGTCAACTTTTGCACTCTCAGCGTTGTTGATTGAAAAAAATAAATAATAGACTAGGAATATCCACTGTGTATGGTATCTGAGTCAGACAATCTAGGACCGCTTGATATTTGTGTAGGAAGTTCGCGAGGAAAAAGTCTATTCAAACAATTACAGAAGAATTAATGACCTGCAGCAAAGCATTTCCCAAGTTATTTGTCAAATTGAGCCAAAACTGTGAGATGGACGTCTCACATATGCCGTACCGTCAGATCCAAACAAGTTAAATTTGGTTTCATCGCTCCATAAAACTGTATTCCATTGTTGTTCTGTCCAAGTTAGATGAGTTTTAGCAAATTCAAGCCGCGCAATACGATTTTTTTTTAACTGAGGGGCTTTTGCACTGGGCTCCTGTCAAAAAGCCCAAAATCCACCAAGCGTCTCTGCACTTCTCTGACAGAAAGATTCTAGGCACCCTCTTCTACGATTCTTTTGAAAACAAACGTTTAATGTAGCGATCCAAAACATAATCGGTTTTTTTTTCGGTCTTCCGCACCTGGGCCGCGCTGATCCGTATTCTTGGTATTTACTAATAATTTTCGAAATCGTCCCTTTGTTCATTTTTATCTTTGAGAAATGTCAACATTTCTGACACCACTTCCAAATAATTCAATTATGGCAAAACTGAAATGTTTCCATACTTTTGTCGTTACAAAAACTGTTGTATTTAAAAAACGCGTGTTTTTATTTTCGGAGAATTTGAATATTGATAAGATAAACCTTGTATTGTACTGGAGACAAAGGTAGACTTTAATATTTATATTATCTGTTCCTTCAGAATTTTAATTTAGGTATATGATATAGTTCATAATAATGTTAATATTTGTTTCCAAACTTTTGTCCGCTACTGTTCATTTATGATCCGTTTCTAAATTGTTTGTCAAAAATCCCGGAGTAAGCATTCCTTTCAATCATTCTGGTAATTATTTCATCCAACAATAGTCCGTGCTTTACCTTTTTATGTACAACAGGAGGAACTGGAGGTAAGCTGCTTTCCCTGATATCGATCCCTGAGTCGTGACAACTTTCTTTGTTCAAACTATCTTGTTCGTCATCGTCTGTCGCTTGTTGTTCTTGAAGCACCGGCGATGATATGGCTGGCAACTCATCAGTATCTATAGATCTGAAGAAGAAAAAATTCAGATATACAGTTAAGTACCAAAATTGAAGAGAGTAACATAATGCCTCGTACGCTACTCTTGACGTGTTCTGTCTTTGAGCACGTTGAGATCCGCTGAATCGAGCTATGATTTACTCTTTTAATGAGGTTTTGGATGACTTACTGCCTGTCTCTTGACGGTATGGCCCAATGATGGTCAAGTAACGATTTCCGCCTTTCTTCTAAGGTTTTTTGGACATTGTCGTGTTCATCTAGGTTCGTAGGTGTAACAAGCTCTCTCTCGAATGCCTTAGGAAACGCATCACCTTCTCTTCCTTCTCTTTCGGTACAGGAACAAACGGATTCGGCGTCGTCACCGGTCACTAAAATTAGACAAAACTATTAGCTTCAATTACTCATAATCTATACTGGCTTTGGCTACGTCTTTAATATCAAATATGATCGTAATTGGCAACTAGCTTGTACAGGGTGTCCCAAAAGTCGACGTCAAGCCGGAAACGGAGGATAGGCCAAGTCATAATAGTTATCAGAAATATATTTAAAAAGATAAGGCTTGTACTTTTTAAATTATAGTCTTAAACAAATCGGAAAAGTCTACACTGGGATGATCTTCTAGTTCCCATTACTACAAATTTCAATATAGCATACTAGTAAGACAGATACTAATGCTACTTTTATCAATTTTTGATTGTGTAGTGCCACCATGTCTCTGTACGCCGTACGACAACCTGCACTTCATCTATGAGGAATGTAGAGCAATGCTCGTGCTGCTACAGAGGTATCAAATACTGATTGTCATCTCGATCACCGACTTTTTGTGAATCTGCACCGTTTAGTCTCAGAGGGATGATTCCCAAATTAAGCACACGGTGAAGAAAGAATTTCCTTTCCTTACGAGGACGTCGTACTACAAGCAGTCGAAGAAGACCCGAGTATTTCAGTCGTCAAATAGAAGCAAGTACGGGAGTGACCAAAGTTACAGCCCACCGAATCTTGCGAAATAACGAGCTCCACCCGTACCACGTACAGCTAGTACAATCGCTACAACTCCGGGATTAACTTCCAAGAGTTGAGTTTTGTCAAACAACGTTACAGAGACAACAGGAAGATCCGCGATTTTTAGAGAAAATGTTATGAACTGATGAGTCGAAATTTCAAAAGATTGTTACGAAAATCCACATTTGATGAGACGAGATAGATCACAGTGTCGTTTAAAATAAACATGAGGACCGGGATTCCAAATGGGAGAATCATTCTACCTTTTGAGCTGCCAGAGTTCTAGAATGGCGAAATGTATTTAGACTTTTTACAAAATCATTTACCAAATTTATTGGAAGACGTGCCACTAAGAATTTACAGAGATATGTGGAGCCTGCAAGACGGCTCCTCGACGCACTTTTTCCGTTCAGTTAGAAAATATCGTGATGCGGAATACACATGGATAGGGCGGTCTGGTACATTTTCGTGGCCAGCCCGTTCACCTGACCTGAATCTACTCAATTACGGTTGAGAGGTGCGTAGAAAAGGTTTACTCAAAGCCAATTTAGCTGAACTACGAGACATAATCACGGAAGCAGCAACATTTTTTAATATCCGAAGATTAGCCCATCAGATAACCCGCACGGGCATTACGTATATTGAAAAGTGACATAAGTAGTTTTTTACATAACGTAGGTTCTTCTACAAGACGTTGACTTAGCACAAGCTGATGGGCACTTGTTGTAAACTCGTTTTATAGTTGCCTAAACGCCATGATGGTTCGGTTATCAATGTTTGGTTCTGATGTAATGTTAAATCTGCTTCAGAGATGCCATTATTGCAGGTCTAAGCTATAAGTTGTATACTATAGCTGGAAGGAAACGGCAATGCATAGTGCATAGTGAGGACTTGTGTGCTAAAAAATATGTGTTGATAACAATTCAATTGGTTTCATTTTTTCTTATTCATTCTGGAAATTTCATATGCAGATTTGCCGAATTTCAAAAATGAGAGAGATAAGAAAAGAAAATCCCTGGTTGGTGAAGTAACAGGTGAGAAAATACACTACAGGCAGGAATATTTATAATATAAGTGAAAAGGTTATTACATTATTTTTAATTCCCAGTCATTTAAATTTTATAGACATTTATTTTGCGATGTCAATAGAAAATACAAATCAGCGCCTAGATGTGAGGCACACAACGCGGGCGCGGTAGCGATTTTCCGTAATGCTCATCAAAGTTTTCGAAAACACAAAAAAAACGGGAAATATCGCGCATAATCTGTCTTCAGAAAGGACAACATATAAGTAACACAGTACACAGAATTCAGTAATAATTTTCTCGCCTATCAAATATCACTGATTTTATACACATGCAGACCAATACACATAATCATCCAGATGCGATCTTGCTACTCAACTAACTTTCTTTCTTTCACATCTTCTCACAGACAAACACTACAGACTACTCGGTTTAACAAAATTACTTGCTTTCTGGATGGACTCTCACAGCGGGCAAACGTGGAATGAACTTTTTGCACCCTTAAAACTACCTAGTCTGCAAGATGACATTTCGTTGACGTTGACGATCGTTTTTAAGAAGATGTCAAGCTTAGATTGCTGCTAAAGGAAAACAGTTTGAACATTTACTGTGAACTTAACATAATACATTCACGAATTAATAAAAGTTGCATTACTATCTGCCTTGCTAACATTACATAGAATGACACTATCCGTCATTCCGTCTAAAAAAATTTAAATTTGTATTATGGAACTAAAAGATCATTACAGGGTGTAGATTTTTCCTGTTTATCAATTTTTGTAAAGCCGTGATATTAGGTTCTAAAAACTATGCAGAACACAATGCGGCCGCTCCTATAGTAATATCGAGCTTGTCGGTGAGCCCCTTCAAGACGCTACTGAGGCTTCTCGAGTGTATGCCGACGTTTCCATCCTGCGCCACTCACGTTTTTTATCTCCTACAAAGAGCTAGCGACGTACACGGTTTGCACTGGCGTCAGTGTAGCTACAGTGGAATAGGTACACATACAAAACAAACATAGACACACGAAGGCCACAACAAGAACCAACCTACACATTGTAGTATAAAATGGCTACAAGACCTCGAATTTTCAAGGCGACAAATGGACTTCGTGAGTCTTTTTTTTCCTCTCCATCTTCGTTTCCTCAGGTTACACCCGTATCCGGATGATTGGGCATGTGTATCTACTTTTGTAGTTGCATATGTGCATTCATTTCGGGCCTGATGAAGCCAACCAGCAGAAATACGTATCGCTCGGGTTACTTATCCTATTTTCTGCTCGAATCCACTTTTTGCGGATTTTGCCCATTATTTTCCTATTTTTGTTATACTATATATATATAAGTCTCAAATAGTAAAGTATGACATATTTAACGTGTACAAGCCCGGCTGAATGTGTGGTCATAGAAAATCCTCACGTTGTCCATCAATCACGTTTTCCAGCAAACATTTTCGGCTATATCGCATATAATAAAATACTTTCTACGAAACAGTCTGCTAACATTAATGTGATTCCTTCCTTTAGGGCTAAAGAAGACGTTTGGTTTGCAAAAGTACGGTGCACAATAAACCCTCACCCATACGGAGCCGTTGCCTTGATTTATGTGTGACTTTGTTCAGTATTGTTTTCTTATAATACTCACCTAACTCTGAGAAGGTTTCATCTTTGACCAACGCCCCAGCCACCGAAGCAGCCTCCTTGACTCCCTTCTCTCCCTTCGGATAGTAAATTTCCGGTTTCTCCGACGGTTCCCAAGTAGCGCCCTCATCCGGCCGATGATGACCAACGCGCATGTGCGCGATGTCCGTGTAGATGGCGGCGTTGACGACGAACTCCATAGGGGCGATAACGCCGTACGCTTCAGGGCCATGCTCGATCACCAGGGGATCGGAGACGTTCGGATCGAACATCACCGCGTTGGGGGTGACCAGGAGGACCCCACTGACGACACCCTTGAAAACAAAGCTATGTCATAGGTCTAGTTACGGCTAAATAATACCATATCGTACAGTATTCAGACATTACCGACCACAGAGAAGCAAAAAACTGAATACAGGCAACCAGTTGCACCGAACTGCTGCTTACCAAAGTAAAAAATGAAATAGATACGGCCAGCAAGAAAAAATCTTCCTGACACCTATACCACCTTACGATAACTGTTACAGCTGTTACTGTGGAACGAAAATTTAAATCCTTCTTTGAACGTTCCATAGGGAAGAGTGATTGTTTCCAATAAGAGATCCATTGTTTCCAAGGAAGTCTCAAGCTTCAGGGAAGATCTATAAATATGACTATGTAATATTTAAAACTTCTCCTGTGGTTTTCACGCTTACAAAACTAGATGTTTCTCTGGCCAAATGAAACCACATATGTTGAAATAACCTTTACCGACGTTTCGGCCACCACCAAGCACGATTAATGACAATGACAATATATTTTATATTTATCTGTCTTCCACGTTTGTTTTTACCGCTGCTATACAGAGAATTGCAACATCAGCCTGAACGGTTCTGTACCACACAAAACAAGGAGCGCCTGAGGTAGACATGTCCGTACTCAAAGACATCCAGCCTCTCCAAAGCGACACGTTTTGAACGTATCCGACACGTCACCCTAGCACATCGCCCCTAAAGCGCAACACGACTTCGAGGACACGAGCACCTACCCAGAACGCAACATACCATCACTTCTTCCTTTTCTTATGGTTTTTTATTTGATCCCAAATGCTCAAATGTTTTACTTCGCCACCTCAAGGCCAAATCGTTGTCTTGAATTATTTTCTTAAAGACAAACAACATGGTGGCCTTGATGTGTAGAAGTACCGTTTCCCGAATTTCGGACCCATGAATGTAAATGTAGAATAAGCAGTAGGAGAAGGCAAAACAGTCAACCGGTGCGTTGCGACAACAGTTTTGGGTGGCTTCTCGCTTTCGGGACAATGAGCGGGGGTTATGTGTATGGGGCATCCAAAACAACAGCCAACCTCATGCTCGCTTGTCGCTTTGAGGGGGCTGGACGTCTTTTAGGGGTGTGAATGACTACCTAAGGTAGTCATGGATTTTGCTGGTTTTGCGTGGTGTCATCTTAAAATTAATTTTCGTCTCCCATTGTTACAAATGAATGAAACTCGGTACACATAGGTAATTTGGAACATGGAATTCAAATATGACCGGCAAAACATCATGTGGACCGAATCTGAGGAAAAATGTATCGTTTTGGACCATCCAGGGGTCCTAGAGTCGAGGCGAGTTTTTATTTGATCAAACAAGTCCTTGAAATATTATAGTTGTATAGTGTTAGGCAAAATGTGAGTTGTGAGGACACACTGTTTCATGGACATGACCCCATTTGGTATCTAAATTAAATTCGTATATATAATGAATTTATTATAGGAAGTACCTGCATTTGAAATTAAATATCGATTCGAATCCGCCTAATGTTTAACTCACCTGCCCATCGGTGATATGCCTGACATTAATCTTGAGGAACCTTTCCCTGAAAATAGCAGATTCTGAGTCTTCCAAGTCAGTACTGCTCTGGTTACAGGAGGGGGTCCGCACTCTCTCCACATGGCCAGGCTTTGGACTGACAGGCCGCAAGTTGTCCAACAATTCTGTAAAAAAACGTTTCACAGTCGCTGTAGTAGCGAAAAAGCTATCCATTTTTCCAAAATAACAAGCACATATGAATCACCACTACAATTTCCACTGTCAAATCCCACGAAATCACAGCCAGATTCTTGTTACAAAAGTTTATCTACTAATGGAGCCATTTGTGTGGAGGTAGTATAAGAATCTAGTGTCATGTGCACATTGGAAAACGTGTCGCGTAGTTATTTTTGACCAACTACCGGCACATCGTGGCGCATTCCGAAATTTCTGATTTGTATTATTTATAAACTTCACCTGATGTCAACACACTATGACAATCAAGTGCGAGTTTGGTCGGGTATATTCGGTTTTAAAACCTTCGTAAATACTGATAAGATATTTCAAACTTTTGTAGTAGCTGCGGCGTGGTGGAAAGGCTTATCAATGTCAGTTTGATAGTGCGGTCATATTATACCTCTTGCAAAGTGTAAAATCCTTTGCCTAGCTCTAGATTAAATACGGTCATAAGCTCTATTTTTAAGAACTTCTTCTTCGGCCGAGAAATATCCGTAGAAATTGACGGTTTCTACTCTGCGTTCCACAATAGAAAAACGGGTATTCCCCGGGAATCCGTCTCCCAACATTGTCCCTGTTACATAGCAAACACCTCACCTGCACGATCAATAGAAACCTATATAATGTCAAAAAACAGACTTGTGTCACTTTTCAAGATACATAATACCCCTGTCGAGCTTTGTCGATGACAGTGCTCTACATGCGTGAGGAAAAACACATGTTGTACACGTAAGTACACTATTTCCTTGTGATAAGTATTCGGTTTCCAGAAGAAAATTTAATAGTTGATCAAACTGATGAAGTTCAATGTTTGTATAGTCCTTTCACTGAAACAAAGCAGTTACGTCATATTTAGTAAATTTGAATGCGAACCCTAATGCAAAATAGATCCTAAATTGGTACGTATAGTTTGAATTTCCCGGCTACATTTATGTTGGCAACAGTTTTCTGTTTTGTGACATTGTCGCAAAGCTTGACAGGTAATTACGCCAACGGCTGTTGTTTACTTGTGGTTTATTTCCAATGATCTAGTAGTTTTAAGTAATGTGGAAACCATGTGCATCACTGCCATTACTTGACGTTGTGACGTAACTGCTTTGACCCAGTGAATATACTATACATCCAAGCCACTCTAAAAGCAAACAAAAAACACAGCGAATTCAACTATTCCTAAAAATAATACCCAGTTTGACCGGCCTAACCGGTATGAATTTATTGAATATGAGAGTATCCATAACCGTGTGTTAACCAATCAAAAGTACTTGACGCTAAAAATTACATATTACGTAATTTCGGTGCATGGAGACGATCTAAAGCTTACTTTTGCAATAAATAAATGTCAAACATTAAGGTCACCTTTCATGACAGCCTGGACCAAGATATCAACACACTTTCTATGCACGCAAACATTGTACTGGAACACAATTCGGTCACTGCATTGGTGCGAAACTTATTGCAATAATTAAAAATGCATTCTTGTTTGCGCGAGATGAAATTACCAGCAAGCATAGTTGTGAAGTAAGAAATTGTGTGGGTATGTTGTATGCGCGAATGTAGTGTTGGTTGCCTGAACTGATAACGCATATTATACAGGGGCTATTTTAATAATATGAGAGGGAAAAATAATACGGGACATGCTATGTTCAGGTATTATATTATCTAACCTGGGGCTTGATTCTAAATGAGTTTCCACCGTTGAAATTGATTTCGATGGCGCCTTGTGACGATATACTTGATCAGCTATGATTATTTTCACACTGACATGATAATTTAAATATAAAAGAACAATATAATCAGATGTCAAAATTATCATAGCGAATCAAGTACCTATATCGTCACAAGGCATCATCGAAATCAATTTCAACGGTCGTAACTCATTTAGAATCAAGCCGCTAGTCTCAGCAGAATACGCTGCGACTTTTGTGTGCTTTTTGTGAAACCGCATGGAATGACAGCTGCATAAAGCGGAGGTATCTAACTTCATTTGTCAACTTTAGGGCTGCACCATAGAATATTACCAAAGGTGATAGAATCTCAAATGTCAGATTCTATCAACGCCAACTCGAGTCAGATGCTTTTGGTAGGATTTCCATTTCTGTCATTTGTAAGTGACTCTTAGGGATATTCGATTTGCTTAATTCTACAGATGTTGGTTATATTCAATATAAAAAGCTCTTCAAAAATTATCTTGCCTGCACGTGGGCTGATGATAAATTTGTTGATTCTTCAGTTTGACGTGACATTCGTGACGTGAGGCCAATGGAGCGTAACTACCAAAGGGAAAAATCCCACCGGACGCCTATGGAATTAAGTAGGGAACGCGAAACAGTTGGAAACACGAAAATCACAGTAGCTGTCGTGTCTGTATAATCTGTGGTTGTACTGTCGTTCGAAATGACCACGTTTACACCGTGGATAGCTAACCATAAGACTGATATTCCGTGTGCTAGATAAGGACTTAGGGCCGTATCGTCAGTCATTCCTACAATTTGTAGGACGCCTTTATGGCCTCCTTTCATGTCAGCGCTCTATTTTGAGGTTATGTTATATTTGCATCCAATTGTTCATGCTTTTGATTTATATCATGTTTTATCAGCCTGAAATTTCCTACAATTCATAAAGAAAACATAACTTCACAATAGGAGAGCGCCGACGCTGACACAGAATAGTACAAATCTAGAAAGACACCAGCCTTTATGAAGGAAAGAAAATACTCGGAAAATCAAGGCGGCCACACATACAATTGTAGGAGCAACTGATGATACAGCATGACTAGTGATCTGCGCCTCAGATTCTCTTTAGCAACTCTAAAACGCTTTTTTTCGATGCACAAAAACAATAGAAGCGATATGACTACTAATGATCATGACTATATTTTCAACCCAAGAAATCATCAGTGTTTGATGTAAATCGTTCTTCAAATGGTACCGAGTTTCACCAGATTCATTACTGCGAACAGTACAGACTTTAATACAAAGGTGTCACTTGCTGATCAGCTGTTCACCTTAAAAAACAACAAACTATGATTATTTAATCTTGCTCATCAAATGCATCATAGCCTCACCTTTTTCTTCTGGAGGTAGATCGTCATGCGAGTCTTCCACAGGTGTGGACCCTTCAGATTCTTCCTCGACAGTCTCTCTACAGGGTACGTACAGCTGTTGACCAGGGAATATATAGGGCGTTGCTAGCCTGTTGAGTTTTGTTAGTTCGGATGGTGTGGTGTCAAACCTGGCAGCAACAGATGTTAAGGTATCCCTATCGGCAACCTGTAAAGACAGGACCCAACAATTAAAAAAGAAAAAAATGAATATCAAGAAGTGTCATCATTAAGAATTTTATAGATGCCAAGAACATTCTTATTTACCCATTCTTGCTTTTATTTAACTCGACCTGTTTATTCTTGGAACGTTATTCTGAACCAGTTAACCTTAACCACCTGAGCTGAAATTTTATATCACGCTACAAATGGCGATTCATCATTTCCATGATAACTCCTATGACAAAACACAATAAAAAAGTGGCCTCATTCTGAATCCAATACAAATGGTTTTAGAAGAGTGGAGGATAATAGGAAGCATACACTGGGTGTTTTTGGGCCTCAAAAGGGCATTTGAAACTATTGACAGTGTTAAATTACTTACAAAAAGGATGTGTATTCAAAATTGTACAAAACTACTTGACAGAGATCAAAAAAACAAAATTAGATCTACACTATCGAGCTCAAAAAATATTTCTGATGGCGTACCGCAAGGTAGTGAACTGGATACAGTACAATCTACTTTATATATTAATGACATACCATATGTGATGTTTTAGATTGTTGTAAAATTCAGATCTGTGCAGATAATAAATTAAAAATCAAAACGAAATGTATGCTAATAGGTAAATACTTGAATGAAAATACTATCACAGGATAAGTGGTGAAATAAATGAAAAAGTTGAATCAATTAAATATTTCGGCGTATATATTGATAGTAAGCTAACGTTTGAGGGCTAATATGAAATACTGTATAATAAATACATTTATTCTACCCCATTTATTATATTGTTCACTGACAATGAAGCTGTATTCTCAAAACTACAAGTCCTACAAAATAAAGCTATGAGAATAATATAGAATAAAAATAAGTACACCAAAATAAAATCTGTTACAAGGATTTCAGTGGTTGAATATAAAAAAATTTTCAAATTACATTTGGTTCTTATTTCCCTTTAAAAAAAATGACGTTTGGCCGCAAGATTTAGAGTATTACTTAGAATTGGATAATCATTACAGCAATTATTCTACAAGAGGAAATATAGATTTCCATTTTCAAAATTTCAATAGTCATATAACTAGTAAATCAGTATTACAGAAGGGACTACTTGAGTTTAATAACCTAAATCCAAATAATTATATAAAGTCTACTTGTAATTTAAAGATGTTTAAAAGAAAGTTAAAGGAACATTGCATGGACAGTGAAAGTTCTTAGAAAAGTTTTGTTTTTCCGTATATCTGTAGGTTATGTAATTGTTGTAGTACTTTAAAAGAATGTAATTGTAGCAATCATACTAAAAACATTTTAAGAAAAGCACAATAAGTAAATAAATAGTAAATCGGCGTCATCCTAAATGCGATATTATAATGACATGGAGCTGTCTAAAGATGAAGCCTGGAGTTGACCATGGAAACTTGGTAATAAATTGACGCGAACTCAATTGGGACTCGTTTGGTTTTTCTTGACAAATACTCTGGTCCTAGGATAAATCTAGATACCTTTTTGTAACTCTTTGAAACTGATTAGATGGTTCTGTCGCACCCTGTACAGCTTCAAATATCTTTAGCGGCAGATTTATGACATAATACGTTCTAGAGTGGTGTCCTGCTCTTAGAATGTGACCCCAGCTTAGAATTCCATCATAATCGACGAAGAAAAACATTTACTCTCTGAGATTGATAGTTCGACTTGAACTGCATGATCACGTTCTCGATTTCGGGATAAAAAATCTAATCCTACTAATATTTTTTCCAACACAAGCGAAAAACGACGATCCTTAAAAACTACATGTGAACAATATACTTTACTTATTAAGAATGCATTTTCATTTAGATAGAGAATAGTCCATTATCGACAAAATCCTTAGCACATCCATGCCTTAAAATTTATCCATTCCTCGCGATTTTGAAGCTTTAGGCTAAGGCCTGTATGAAGTCTTGATATATCTTGATATATATATACAGGGTGACTTTGAAGTTGAGTCATTAATTTTCAGATAATGATTGTAGAAGGAAGATTAAACCAAAACATATGTGTAAAAATAAAAAAAAAATAAAAAAAAAATTTACCTCGTTTTATAAAGTATCCTCCCGACAAGTATTTCAGTGCGGACCTGTATTTGATCGTGAGGTCTTGGAACACCGGCATGCCGTCGTATGAGGAACATTTCTTTTGATCAGATCTACTCACTGTTAAAATAAATGACTCAACTTCGAAATCACCCTGTATATTACTGCTACACTTTTTCATCAAAAAGTATGTGCAGATTCCGTTTTTTATCAAATATATCTCTTTTCGTAGCTTTGATAGTCCTATCAACCGACAGAAATCTTTTTCAAGTAGTTTTGCAAATAGAATAACTGCAGCATCTCAAAATGTTCTTACATAATTGTTTAATAGAGGTAGTTTCATCCACAATATTTATGAAACCGGAATTAAAAGCAACATTATGTAAATAAAATAATGAACTCACAGTATATACAGTCGTATTCTCGGGAGGTCCAGTTTTCTTCTTTTCCGCAAGACTGTTCGCAGAGCCATCGATATCTGTAACATACAAACGAAATATACATTCTCCGATATACGTAAACATAATAACAGACTAACATGTAAGTTATCAATTTTGATAAGCGTCGATTAACCTCTAAACTCACATCGCTGATCATCGTAAATGACAAAACAATCCACAACACCGTCGTCTCTTGTATACACGAACGCCCAAGATCTGGGATGGTTGAACTGGTAATAGTCTTCTATAAACTCCATGGATTGGCCATAACTAGACTGGCATGCCTGTTTGTCTTACCAATTAGGGCAACTAATGACACAGTCACGTGGATGTGCAGCGTAATGCGAGTGTCAGTCGAGACTGTTTATACATAGAACGTGAAATTGCCGAGCGAATCGAAATAAAATATGCATCCGCTGATCCATGGACAGGTATGATTGTAGACGACCGTGGGTACTGCTATGGTACAGTGATCCGAAGCGCGCTTTTCCGTTGCGTAAGCTGTATCTAGTAGCAGTACCGGACTACCAGGGACTTGAGATATAGGTTCAAGGATCTCTTTGCTTTCCGTTCCTATGTCTATAACCAACCGCGTGAAATGTTGTTTCATGCTTTTGAGTAATTAACCTCAGCGTACTGAGACATCTGTTTACAGCTAGGAAGTGGTTTTCACCATTTAACTTTAGAACCCTATTCTCTTCATCAATTTCTTACTTTCTACGCCACTGGGAGAGGCGGTATTTTAATCACAAAAAATATAGAAAAAGAGATATTATGTTTTTTGGATCTTATACAGGGTGCGGCAGAGAGGACGGACGTTTTTGGGATGGGTAGTACTCTCCGCCTCCGTCTACGAGAGAGGTGGGGAGGTTGCCGTTTGACTCGTGAGATCCTAGCATTATTTTACCAGTTGTCGTTATGGAGCCTTGGACGGTGGAGCACCGCGTTTTCGCCTATGATTGTTTCGTCCGAAATAATGAGTCAGTCATCGTCGTACAGCGTGAGTTTAGTCGCCACTTCAACATTCATCGGAATAGGGCTGTTCCCTCTCGGAACACCATCCTTCGTTGGGTTGAATCACTTCGCAGGCATGGTGAACTGATCAACAGAAGACCAAGAGGAGCGCCGCGAACAGTTCGAACTCCTGAAAATATTGTACGCGTTCGACAGGTCTTTCTTCGCAGTCCGACTCGATCTGTCCGGAAACATGCTGCTGCACTTCGCCTTAGTGATCGTTCGGTAAGGCGAATTTTTCATATGGATCTCCGCTTTCACCCCCACAAATTGGCCATTGTGCAACAGTTACAGCCCGGAGATTATGCACAACGAATGAACTTCGCACGTGAGATGGAAGCACTGATCGATCAAAATGAGAACCTCATTTTCTTCATGAGTGACGAAGCCCACTTTCACCTAAACAGCACGGTTAACCAGCAGAATTGTCGTTATTGGGCTAATGAAAATCCGCAACAGTTACACGAAAGACCGCTGCACAGCCCAAAAGTAACGGTTTGGTGCGCTGAACCGCGAACTTCCAAGAACGCCTCCAGCACTGCATCAACGATTTCGGCCAAAACATGCCTGATGTGATTTTCCACACTTGACTGTCTCAAATGCTATTTCCTTGTGAACCTGATTCCATCAATAAATTTGCTTTCGAGTAACAATTAACTATTTTATGATTTTTTTAAAACCGTCCATCCTCTCTGCCGCATTATGTATGACATATGTTAGTACATCACGAAAAACCATGTCACTTATTTCGGTCGGACTGCCACGTAATTCTTAGCCCATCTCAGTTTTTTATGTTAGTATATTTATACGCTCCTAGCCTCGATAATTAAGTGCACCTATTAGCCATATTTCATACATCATAGGTTACATTTGTCGTTAAAACTTACAACGGTAGAGACATGTTTTCTATGTGTGTCTCCTTCTGCAATTTAGGCTCAGCGCCCGGCGTAACGATCAGCTTGATTATTCTGCTCGTACTGCGGCAGTGCTTCGGTTGGTGCTGCCGCGTCTAAGGATATAGGAAGGGGCATCATTGCCAGATGGACGGTAACTACCGGCAGTACAGGAAAATAGTGTGTATGGACAACTGATTTTCTCTCAGGGGGTTTAACCCATGGTGTACTTACTCCTTTCTGAACTGATGACACCGTTGTGTAGGAAATGCAGAGCCAATCTATTCGACGCCATTTTTTTATGGATTTAAGTCTATGCAAGCATCTACCCAATCTTTCTCAATGATCGTAATTACTGTATTCTTAATCTATTGCTTTTCCCCCTGTCTCTTTTGTTGGCATGAGCTTCCTTGTTAAATTTTGCATATTTTTATTTGGCATCTAATCACTTCTTGAGTTATGTATGTCATAACCCTTTACAAGGTAAAAATAAGGCCCGGTAGCGTTATCAGCACCTGCCAAATTGGAATTCCTTATGTCAAATTGTGATTTCTTATGTGCGAACGCCTGTCGCAAATCGGAATCAATGATCAAATAGCACCGAACCTGTACAGACTCAGCCTACAAAAGGAAAACGGAAATTTTGAAAAAGAAGCGATTTTTCCTCAACATAGTCTCCTTTTAGCTCGATACTCTTAACCCAGCGATGCTCCAACTTCTTCAACCCGTCCGAAAAATACGTTTTCTGGGGGTCTGCAAAGTAGGCCTCCATTTCGGCGATAACCTCATTCGTCTCAAATTGCGGCCCGGCGAGTGACTTGTTCAAGTTTGGAAACAAAAGGAAGTCGCCAGAGGCCAAATCTGGCGAAAACGGTGGATAGGGCAGCTGTTTGTAGCATAATTCGACCAATATAGCCGTGGCGACGGCGGAGGCGTGAGCCGGTGCATGGTCATGAAGAACATTTTTTTCTTTGCCAAATGGGGCCTTTTTTGCAATTCAGCATCGAACCGGCCCAATAATTCGAAATAGTAGAGCACCTGACCGTTTTGCCCTTCTCCAGGTAGTCAATGTAGATCACACCTTGTGAATCCCAAAAATTGTTGGCCATCACCTTTTCGGCCGACAGGACAGTCTTCGCCTTCTTCGCAGAACGTTCGCCGGGTGCAGTCCACTGTTTCGACTGTTCCTTGGTCTCTAGTGTGCACCAGTGTCCATGTTTCGTCGACGGTCACGAAACGACGCAGAAACTCTTTCGGATTGCGCCCACGTAGCGTCAAACACTGATCTAAATTGTTCTCACCGTTGCGCTTGTTTAGAGTGAAAAAACGCGGCATCCATCGTGCCATGCCCAATATTTCGTACAGGACCCAGGCGGTCTTTTGGGATGCCTACTGTCTCAGCTATCTGGAGCAAATTCAATAGGAGGTCTGCTAATACGAGATCGTGGATTTTTGTTATCCTCCGTGATAGCCATTGTCGGGGTACATGGGCCTGTCTCATCAAAAACCGATGTGCAGCCACGTTGAAACTCGTTAAACCAATTTCTGATCCTCACCATCGACACAACATCCAGCCGCGCTTTGATTTTGCTGCCCGATTCCCTTTCCAAATGCAACAATCGAATCAACGACGGATATTGCCCTTTTTCCGTTTTTCTAAAATCCGCAGTCACGCCCGGTATTGCACACCGACTGAAATTTTTACAGTAGCCATCTACGAGAATGTACTATACGAGCCGGCAACCCACAAACCACGCTAACAAAATGCGAGTTGCAGTGGTTTAGGCCAATATCGCGATTCCTGCATACGTGGAAGTGAGGCTATAAAGTGAATTTGAGGTATGCCAATGTCAAAAACAGCCAGAACCAACGGCCACGAGGGATATATGTCCTGATGTGAGTGTATATGGTTTGTTTATTTAAACTCAAAATTGTACCGAATTTCAATTACTAATACGATTTCGTGAGCTTAGTTCCTTAGTTTATCCCTGTGTATTGAATATAATAGCGGATCTCAGCAAACACCAACGTAAAATCACTTGATAAGGTAATATCAAGTTGCTTTGATGAGTTCAATATTTGTTTAGTTCTGGTCGACCGATTCTACAAGGTGAGATTTTAAGGTGCAAACACACCACAGAGTTTACCGCAGCGTATTGCTGTCTGAAATCCATTTTACGCTTATAGCATTTTTTTATTTCCCATGCCACTGGCGAGCAACTATTGTAATCGCGAAAAATTTCGACAAATGAGAATTATATATTTTGGATGTTACATATATTTTTTTTTCATCAAATTGGTACAGTTTTCGTTTTTCATCCTAACTTTGTCCACAAAAGTAATATAAAACATATGTCATTTCGTGTCTCGTTTTAACACCAGTCAATAAAAAATTGTCCCTCATTTCGTTGATTTTTAGAGTGCTGTTTTCAAGAAGAGAACAGAAAACCATAAAACTGATGTAAAAAATGTCTCCAACTCGGTTGTCTCTGAACTTCCCACGCAACGGTGCCATCAATATAGTTTCTTCGCGGCCCCAAGAACCGACCATCTGCCAACGCTGCTGGACCACACCAGCCCAATACGTCATAAGTGTCAGCCTTGGTACTATAAGCGATACTGTCAGACGCAAGAAAGGATTCGGCATATGAAAGTCGCCGTTGCATTGCATCGTCCCAAGCGAGCGCGCCACGACTACAAAAAATATTCCTGTGTGGGAAATCTGTGATCTGTGAAATATGTACTGAGGAGTGCGTAAAATTACTGGAGTTAGGAGCGTATAAATATACTGCCGCCAATACAACGGGATATACCTTCCCCACCGCCTACAACTCCCAACGCCCAATTTTCAGCCCCTACACATTTTTATTTGAAAATGTCAAAGTTTGAGAGATTTCTATTTTTTCGTATTTTTGCGCCCAGCTCAGCTGCCACTGGACCGATTTGCAAAAACTACAGGGATTTTCCGTCTTTGGCATAGCAGTAACCATGTGTGAAAATCTCATCCAAATCCGGACACTACTTTCCAAGATATAGATTAGCGGACAGACTGACAGACAGACCGACGGAAATGAGTAACTTGGTTTTTCGTACATATCATATAACATTAAAAAAACATGTCATTTTCGAAA